ACATTTTAAAACTTTTATTTGCTAAACCATTTAATAGCATGGCGAGGGCTTTGCTGGAGATTCAGGCACAACGCACAGCGGACACCAGCCGCTCCCCAGAGCCACGCCGGGCATTCGCCACCCGCCCACCCGCCCGCCTGCCCGCCTGCCCACCGGGAGAGCAGCTCTCTGCTGGCTGCGGAGCTAGCATCTGCTCACTTGGCTGGGTGAACGTGTGCTGGGACCCTCTCTGGCCTGGGAGCAGCCAAAGGCCGAGGGAGGATCGTGGATGCCAGAGTCCCAGAGACAGGCCCTCACGTTCTTTCCAAAAAGTAGCCAGAAGATGGAGTCCACCCGAAAGCCGTCAGCTGGCGACAGAGACACCCTTGGGTTCGTCCACACGCTGAAACGTGCCGTCCACACGCTGAAATGTGCTGAGGCCGAGAGAAGCGGAGAACTGGCCTGGCCATGCCACGGAGGAACCTCGGACACAGGGTCAGAGGGCAGGCCTCTGGTGAGGGCCTTGGGCTTCCAGCGGGGCCTGGCCCAGAGCGCCCCTCAGAATGGAGAGGAAGGCAGCGGCCTGCCAGTGCCCCTCAGCAGGTTGGCTGGGGCACCCTGCATCCTGGATCCATCCCCAGCCCTCGTGCCAGGGCTTTCTGAGAGCGGGGAGCGGGCTCAGGAGATTCCCCACCTTCCATGTCGCCCTCAGGCCCGGCACTCACTCCCAGGCCCACACAAGGTGTCTGCCTGCAGCCCGCACCGCTGGTCCCGAGCCTGAGTGCCCTCCCCGCCTCCCCCCGCCTCCCCACCAGGTCCCAGCAGATGCCAACTCCTCCAAAGCCACCGGCTTCCTCCAGCCCAGTCCATTCTCAGTCACACGCGCTAGGCCTGCTCCTGAGTGGGCAGCACCCATCAGGGTGATGCCTGGAGCCAGTGCCTCAGGCCCACTCCGCCCGGTGCTCATCCTGCCCAGAACTGCTGGGGAGCCACCAGTCAGGGGTGATTCTGGAGATGGGCTCGTGACAGGAGCCCACAGGCCAGATGGGGCTACGGCGGAGTGCTCACTCGGGGTCAGAGCAGGCTAGCCCCTCCGAGGGGTCTCTGTTCCCAAGTCCCAGGGACAGAAACAGTCACCAGGCCTCGTGCTGCCCGCTTCCTGGCTCAGTAGGGACAGAGCATTGGGGAGGAGGAGCACTGGGGTGGCAGCAGGAAGCCTTGCTGCAGCGAGGACATCGCCCCCACTGGGTGGGAGGGATGTATCTGCCGCCCAGAGACCATCCCTGTCACTGGACCGAGGGGAGGGACAGGGCCAGGATTTCAAACTCAGGTCAGGCACAGGTGGAAACAGGGAGCCACAGCCGCTGAGGAGCCCCCGGGAGGGATCAGCCCTTCCTCTGTCCCTCTTCTTTCCACGGAGTCCAGCCTCGAGCCCTCTCCCACACACTACCTGGCGGTGACTCCCCCACCATCGCCCGTGGACCTCCCACCCATCCCCTTCCCGTGGAGAGAGGAACATCAGCTCCCACTGAGGGGCAGCTCCCGTGGGTCTTGGGAGGAGTCTGGGAGCAGGATCTGGGCAAGAGTGCTACAGCCCTGCCCGACAGCGCCCTCTGTCACCCGGCAGTGCGGTGACAACAGCCGTGCCCTCCTGAGGTGCCTCCTGGTGGTGGGCTGTGCAGTTACATCCCGGTGGGGAGCCCTCCCTCTGCAGGCGCTAAGGAACAGGCAGGGCTTGGTGTGGCATGGGGGCCGGCCAGAGCTGCCCAGAGCCGTGTCTGACTGGGCTGCACCAGATAGCGCCAGCCCCTCCCCTGAGGGAGCACGCCCCTGTTATCAGCACCCTCCCCGCTGCAAACACTCCCCGACCCCATGGAGCTGTCCTGGGGACCAGCACCGGCGGGGAAGGGTTAGGGAGACCCCACCGAGGATTAGGATGACGTTCTGGGGAGGAGGCTGGGCCCATCTCTGCACTGGGCCCCGCACCCCCAAACCCCACGTGCTGTCTTGTGGGGCAGTGGCACCGGGAGGCCTGTGAGCACTGTGCCAGGTGTCCTTTGGCTGCCCTTGGGCACAGAGCCACCTCACCGCCTGGGCCGCCCCCTCAGAGTTCACAGTTTGTTGGGGTTAAAAACAAAGTGCTTATCGCACCCCCCAGTTGACAGCTGCATGTTCACAACAGCCAAGAGGTAGGAATAGCCCAGGAGCCCAGGTGAATAGATACACACAGCGCAGTTGTGGGCCCCGTCCAGAGTTCAAGGCCAAGAGTGCAAAAGCAAGGGCACTGCCATCTTCCTGTTCCGTGCAGGCGTGCCTTCCTCAGCCAGAGATGACGTCCCATTGGGCAGAGGCCTCCGCTGTCTAACTCGTAAAAAGCCGTGCGTGCTGCTGGTTTGGGCTGCGATGCTGCACAGCTCCTGTGCTGGAGGCTGCTTTGCAGGAGGGTGTGTCATGGGCCAGCGGGTGCTTCAGGGCTGCTTTGAGGAGCTGTTTTGTCGGATGCGCCTGGGTAGCCATGGCTACTTGGGCTACAGTGAAGCCTCTCTTCTATGCTCACGCCGTCTCATGTCTCCGTCCAGCGCCCGGCGAACCAGCAGCTCCCGTTCGTGGCAGAGGGACTCGGACCCGGCGCAGGCGTGGTCGGACAGGATAGAGTGAGCACTCCCACCGCGCCCATCCGCACAGGACTTAAAAGGAAGGAAGTCCTGGTGCCTGCTACCACATGGGGGTGCTGAGTGGCAAAATCAGTCACTAAGAGACGAATGCTGTGTGATTCCACTTAACGAGGTGCTGAGAGTCGTCAAAACCACGGACTAGAAGGTGGTGCCGTGTCTGCGGTGGCGGAGGGAGTGTCTGATGGGGACAGAGTGTCAGTTTACAAGATGAAAAAATTCTGGAGATGGTGGTGGTGGTGGCCGCACAGCAGTGCGAACGCACGTGTGTTGGGGAGCTGCCACTCACGTGGTTGCCACGGTGGCCCCCTGTCGTGTCCTGGGGAGCTTCCTCGGCTGGCTCCTGCCCCTGGACAGCAGGTCACAGAAGTGGACCCACTGGAGGTTGCTCATGAAACCCAGCTGAGCAAACCAAAGGCCTTTATGAAACACTAGAGGCACAGTGCACGGAATGCGTGCACGGGGTGGGGGTCCTTCAGCCCAGCCTGCGCCCTCTCGCAGTCTGGACCTCTTGCTCCTTACCGTCCACCTGCTCACTGCTCCTACTGCTGGGCTCGCTGGTCCTTAGCACTGCCACGGAGGTGGGAGAGGCTCCCACCACCAGCCGTGAGCCTGGCTTCTCCCGTGGGAGTGCACTGACCACCAGGGGCAGCTCCTACATTATCACCTGCCCCCTGGTGGTCAGTGTGCATCATAGCAACTGGTCATTCTGCCATAATAGTCACTTAGGCTTTTATTATATAGATTAGCAGTCTCACTGCACCTCTGCAAACAGGCCCTGCCCATCCAGCCAGACTCATTTTGTGATCAAGAATCTCTCAGATTGGACGTAGCTGATTTGGCTCAGGGGATAGAGAGTTGGCCTGCAGACAAAAGGGTCCTGGGTCTGATTCCAGTCAAGGGCACATGCCTGGGTTTTGGGCTTGATCCCTAGTGGGGGGCATGCAGGAGGCAGTCGATCCATGATTCTCTCTCATCGTTGATGCTTCTCTCTTCTTTTCCCTTCCTCTCTGAGATCAATACAAAAAATATTTAAAAAAAAAAAAGAATCTCTCAGGTTCTTTCTAATCAAAAGTGGGGAGACTAGCCCTAGGCCAGTTTGGCTCAATGGATAGTGTCAGCCTGCAGGATGAAGGGTGCCGGGCCGATTCCAGTCAAGGACACAGATCTCCGTGCAGGCTCCTCCCTGGGGCACATGCTGGAGGCCACGAATCGATGTGTTCTTCTCACATTGATGTTCTCTCTTTTCTCTTCCTCTCTCTCTGAAAATCAATGGAAAAAAGTCCTTGGGTGAGGATAAGGGAAAAAGGGGAGTGACTGTGGGAAGTTTGTGCTGAAACAGGAACCAACAGATGCTCCTGCACAGCTGGCTGGGCTGAGTGACTGTGGGCGGGGCTGCCGGCCCTGAGGGGAGCTGATAGCAGTGCCCTGTTCCCGCCGTGGGGACACGGCACCTCACCCCATGCAGGGCCCTGGCTACCCCTGGGTCTGTTCTGGGCTCTCCTTTGACCTGTTCGTAACACTTTACTGGTTTTCTCATGAATGAGTTCAAAAAATATTTTACAAGTATTTATTCTTTTAACAATGTGCTTCAAAATAACAGTCTTCTTTTAAATACAAGGATAGTCATTTAAATAAGACTTTGGTACGTTCCCCACGTTTTTGTATTTCTTTTCTCTCCATATACATCTGGCAACACCTATTATTCCTGAGTGACGGCTCCTCTGCCGTAAACGGGAAGAAGGCAGGGTCACTTGGTTCCACGGAACGCCTTGGCAGAGAGGGTGCCCAGGCTCCCACACAGTGGCACTGGGTGCCAGGGAAGCAGAGCGCATTGCTAGTGTCTGGAGATCCATGGAGGGAAACACTGGGGTGGGGTCCCCAAAGACGGCCAAAGGGATGGAGCTCACTGCCCCCACCCACCCCAGGCAGCTGCCCTGGGAACACTTGGTGGCATCAGGAGACAGTACTGGGGCAAGGACACTGCAGAGCACTCACAGCACACGGGTGCCCCACAGAGCAGGGCCGGCCCGAGTGCCGAGAAACAAAGCAGAGCCGTCTTAGGAGGAGTGCAGACCAGGCCTGTGCCAGCCACTGCTCCCCGGCGGCCGAGGGCAGGGCAACCCGCTCTAAACTGACTCCAGGCACCAGGTGGCAGAGGGGAAACTGAGGCCTAACTAGGGCGGCGCCCCTCTCCTGCTCCATCGAGACTCTCTCTGAGGTCCCACCTCTGCAGTCAAGAGAAGAGGCTCTTAAAGGAAGCCGCTCACCGAGGCTGATGGACGGCCGGGGCGGGGCGGGGCGGGGCGGGGCGGGGCGGGGCGGGGCGGGGCGGGGCGGGGCGGGCAGCTAGAGGTCCTCCAGCCTCGGGCTCAGGTCCACCCGCCGGGCCTCCCCGAACACCAGGAAGGAGCACAGCCCCAGGCTGCTGACAGCGGCCACCAGGTAGAACACGGACGTCCAGGAGCCTGTGGTCTCAATCAGGTAGCCACCCAGGCCCACACCCACCACACCTGCACCGAGAGGGGACGGACAGGGTGAGTGACAGGCAGCCCCAGGCAGTGTGGGGGAGAGGAGTTGGGGTGGGGTGCCTGGAGGAAAGGGGCCTAAAGAGAAAGCCAAATTCTGTGTCCCAAGGCCAGCCAGTCTCAGGGGGCAGAGGCCTCCCAGGCCCTGCAGGAGACCGGCCACCTCTGGCCCTCTGAGCCTGCAGTGGGGCGGGGGCAGTGGGCGGAGCCTGTTCTGTCATCCAGGCACTTGACCCGTGGGGACCCAGGACACTGGGATCGACTCACATTTGAGGGGGAGGTGAACCCCACAGTGGGGGAAGAGTGGGGAGGCGAACCCTACAGAACACAGCTCTGTTCTCTCTGGACTAGCCTGGAGGTGTACCCGCCACCCCACTGATCTGACACTGTTGGATCTCCCCCCCCCAAGGGCCACGCCCCACCCTGCATAGCCAGAGGGTGGTGGGGGACAAAGGGAGACCCCAGGCACCTCAGGCAGGGACCCCTGCCTGCTTCTCACCTGCCAAGGCCCCAGCTGTGTTGGCCACACCTGTGAACAGGGGAGAGAGGGCATCAGAGGGGTCTCACTGTGACCCTCGCAGGCAACCCAGCTGGGAGCAGCCGAGGCTGGGGGGGGGGGGGCAGGTCCTCACCAAAGAGCACACCAGCGCACGACGGGGCCAGGTCCTGGATGTTAACGGAAATGCCGCTGTGGGGAGGAAAGCACGTGGGCCAGTGACCACGGGCAGCCACCCTCCACGGACTAATGTCAGGCCTCTGAGCGCCGGGGCTGGAGACCACGGGGCTCAGGGCCGGTGCTGGTGGCCATCCCCCGGCACTCGGGCCATCTGGACTCCCTGCTCCCCATCTTGGTGGTGCCCCAGCCTAGGCCCGCCCCCAGGATGAAACTAACAATTAGGCCAGCTTGCCGAAAGCACACTCCTTTGTGTCCATAAATCTGAAAAAAGGCGACTTTTCCTGAAACGACTCCCTCCCTGTGAAGTTCTCTCAGGAAACGGCGATGCTGGGCGCTGGGAGGACTGGGACCGCCCACCGATGGGCGGGGTTTGGAGAGCGGGCTCCTCGGGGGAGGGGTGCTGCCCGGAGAGGCCCCCAGCCCCGCCCCAGCACGTCTTTGTTTCTCCAAATGGCCCAGGCCCCCGTGGGGACCTGCCTGGCCTGCCTGCCCCTGGGCACCCGGGGCTGCAGGGCTGGAGGCCAGGGCAGACGGTGGGCGGGGCGGGCCCCTTACCTGTGGTTGAAGGTGTGCAGGCCGATGGAAGCTGATGCAAAGAACACAGACTTACAGAAGCTGGAGGTGTGACCCAAACACAGGGCAAACACGCTGGACAGGCCCAGGCCCATCACCTGCGGACAGACGCGAGGTCAGGCAGGGCTGTGCCAGCAAAGGGCCAGGGTACCCCTCCCAGGCCACCCGGGCGGGGGGACAGGCAGGCTATCCCTGCTGGGTGAACCTCAGGTGGACAGACCCCATTAGATGTGAGCAAATCCAGGCCCAAATGGGTGCCAGGGCTCAGAGGGCACGCAGAGCCGCACACAGCTCCGCGGAGGGGCGGCCGCCGGCCCAGCACTCGGCGCCGCCACGGCCCTGCCACACCCGCACCTTCTGGGTCAGGGGACTTGGGACACAGCCCTCGTGGACATCCAAAGACAGCCACCCCACGACGCCATACCTGCATGAATTTCCGCACGGTGATGGTTCTGTAACCTGGGCAGAGGGGAGACCAGGACACGTTCCCACTGCCCGGTCTGCATTGACACCCCCTCCGACAGCACCCACAGGGGAACCCGCCCCAGCAGAGCTGCAGGAGGGAGCAGTGAGAGGCCCCAGGCTCAAGCCGTGGTATTCTGTGTCGTGGGAGAGGCGTGTGCACACTCGTGTGTGTGCTGTGGTGCATCTGCTCTGAGGTTGGTCTGCACTCACAGGACCTGGGGCTGAGGTGGGGCAGGTGCGTGGAAGGAGGCCATTCTGACCGTTACAACGTGCACGCAGGTTCCGCTCACACCTGATTTCGACTCTGACCACACCAGGTGCCCCTCCCACCTCTGCATGCAGCCTTGGGAGGTCACTGCCGTCGAGGGGACCTGGAGCCTCTCACTGCTCTCCGAGCCCACTCTTACCTGAGGCCGGGAGACCGCCGGGTCAGGCTGGGAACCAGGTTCCCGGCTCACCTGCTGCCTCTGCAGGGCTGGGCTCTCACTCCCCCAGGGTGGTCCTCAGGGGCCATGGCTTCTTGCCATTGCTGTGGCCGCCCTCCCAGCAGGGGTGCCCCTCGCCCCCTCCCCATAGTGGGGTGAGTCCAGGCATGGCTCCCCAAGTCCTGTCCCCAGGGCTCACCCTGACTGATGAGATGGTCAGAGAGAAACCCACTGAACAGACTGGCGGGAATCGCCACCAGCCAGGGCACCATGTTGAAGACCCAGCCCTGTGGGGAGGAAGGCGGGTCTCAGAGGCAGCCAGGCTGGCACCAGCCCCCACTCACATCCTCACCCCGTGGTTGGGCCTCCCTAACCTTAAGCCATCCCCATGGGGCTAGACCCCAGCAGTCTCCCCTGCTGTCGAGCCTCCCAAGGCTGAGCAGGGGGTGGAGGGTGGGGGCTGCACTCCTGGCCAGGAGGGTGCTGCTCAGGGGGTTCCGGCCGCCAGGGCCAGGAGGTGACATCCCTGTTCACATCAGGCCCCTGCCAGGCCTCCCAGGAAGGACCATCACAGAGGGCGGGCCCGTTGCAGGGCTGGGCTGAGTGTGGAGTGCGGGGTCAGGGGTCAGGAGGCGTGGAGGGCAGGGGAGCCGATGCAAAGAACCTGGACAGAGGGTGCACTTTGCCTGCGGGAGCCGAGGCAGCCCACCCACCTGGGAGCTGGGAAAGGTCTCCTTGAAGAAGGTTGGCAACCAGGACAGCAGGATGAAGAAGGAGCAGGCAGCTGAGAGCTGGGAGAAGATGGCCGCCCTGCAGGTGCAGGTGCCTCTCAGGCCACAGTCCCCGCCCCCAGGGCGGCCAGAGGCCTTGGGGACCCTGGCTCTGTGACCAGTCAGTGCTAGGGACACACAGGGTCCCCACCCTCTGCCCCTGCCCCACAAGGTGGCCCGCACAGCCAGCTCACCAAACAGAAAGCTTCCGGAAAAGCTGTCTCCAGGGAACCCTGGTGTGCCTGGCCATCGGCAGGCCTTGTGCCAAAACGCCCAAGGCCAGGATGAGATCTGGAGGGAGCAGGGAGCGTCCATGTGAAAGCTGCTCCGAATCAGGGACGGCTGCTCTGCTCTTAAGGCCCAATGATGGGGGGGAGGGAGGGGGCGGGAGAGGGCCTCCCGCTGTCCAGTGCCTTTGAGGGTCCACTTTTCTGATCCTCCCCAGGCCTGAGTCCCCATCCCTCTTCTGCCATCTGACACGCAGCTCCCCGCCTCTGCCTGGACCCTGCAGACCTCTCAGCTTGAACATGGCGCTAACCATGGGGGCGGGGGCGGGGCGGGCAGGTAGCGCAGGCATGTTTTCTGAGGTCCTAGTCTGCAGCTCAGCCCTGGTCCCCTGAGCTGGGCCTGCTCTGTGATTTTCACATTCGGTGGTGGCCAGAGGGGCCCAGCCTCCAGGCCCTCACCCTTCCTGGGCGGCCGAATGTGCAGGCTGTGCCTACCCGGCCGCAGTTACCTTGTTTGCTCAGCAGGTACCTGTACACGTAACACACCCACAGCAGGGTGAGGCCGCCAGAGAGGTAGAAGACGCTCTGCCAGCCGCACCAGTCCAGGAGCAGGGAGCCCACTGCCCCCGTCACCAGGGTCCTAGAACCAGAGGACAGGGGCCATGATTTGGCTTCACCAGGCAAGGAGGCGCCTGGACCAGCCCAGCCCTGTGAGCTGGTGTCTGGGAAGCCGGGGTGCCCTGTTGCAGCCCGTGGGTAGAGAGAGACTAGCATTCAGAAGACTGGATGCTGCGTGGCCACCATGCACTCAGGACGGCCATGTGGCCGAGGCAGGGCACAGGGGCTCTGTGGTCTTGAATGTCTTGTTCCTCGGCCCTTAAGGGGGCCCAAGCCCGGCCGGCCTAGCTCAGCTGTTGAGCATCAACCTATGAACCAGGAGGGCATTGTTAGATTCCTGGCCAGGGCACCTGCCCGGGTGTGTGCTCCATCCCCAGTGTGGGGCCTGGAGGAGGCAGGCGATCAATGATTCTCTCTATCACTGATGTTTCTCTCTCTCTCTCTCTCCCTTCCTCTCTGAAATCAATACCAATATATTTTTTAAAATAAGGAGGCCTGAAATTGCAGTGTGGGTTTCTAAACTAAAAGCCCCAATCCCCTGGGCCCTCAACCCCCAAACATCACGGTTCAGGGGCTGCTTCCCCACCACATCTGCCCAGGTTTGGCCAAGAGATTGTAAAGGAGCAAAAAAGCTGGGCTCAGAGTGAGGCCACTGGGCCTGTGGGGTCACTTCCTCTCTGAGCCTCCATTTCCCTGCCCCACTCCCCCCCAGGAAACACTCCTCATTTATCTGAAATCCCACCCCCTGCATGGGCCCAGGACACCAGGTGAGGTGGGATTTCAGATAAATGAGGAGTGCTTACTGGTTTCCTGTATTGCTTCTCTGAACATCACACTGACTGGGCACCCTGGGTTCTTCTGTGGGCTGCTCCAGCCCACCCAGGGGTACCCCTTGTCCCTCTAAATTCTGCGTGGACCTTGGAGCAGGGAGTGAGGGTCTGAGCCTGGGTCAGGAAGCCCATCAGGACAGGGAGCTGTCCTTCCACACAGAGCCGGCTCTCACTGCCAGATGTGACACTGCCCGCCAGGGTGAGCATAGGCGCCTCCCGTCGGAGTCGGAGCCCATCCCACACGTCTGGCTCCAGCAGCACAGATGAAAGGGCGCTTGATAGAGCGCTGCTGCCCTGCCCGCCGCCCGCACAGCCCAAAGCCGCTCCCCTGCCGCCAGCACCTGTGCACAGAGGCCCAGCGCACAGAACCGGCGGGGCCAGTCACTTGGAGCTGCAGAGGAACCATGTGGCCTGTCCCTGTCCCACCACCTGCGGGGCTTTGCCTCCTCTCCATCCCTCCCCCCGCGCCCCGCTCGGACTTACCCGAACTGGGAGCCGGCCCCCACAGTGCTGTAGATGAAGGCTCGCTCACTCTCCCGGACCTTCTGTGACAGCAGGCTGGTCAGCGCAGGAAAGTAAACCCCTGGAACAAGCAGAGAATGCGGAGGCCGCCGGCCAGGGGCCAGTGAGGGCACCAGCCGAGGGTGAGAGCAGCTGGGAAGTTCCCCACTGATGATTATTCCAGCTTGGGCCTCCTTCACACTCACACCCCAAGGAACCAGCAGCACCTGGCTCGGGAGGTGCTCAGCTTGGATGAGAGGCGCTGGCAGGGAAGGCTTCGCCACCTTCCCCCTGGCTTCCAGAGCCACAGCAGCTCTTCAGTCCTGGCACACACCTGCACACACACACCCTGATTCACACTACACATGCTGTCACACACACACACACACACACGACAGGTAAGACCTCATGGCTCTGTGGAACCAGTGCTGGGTCCAGGCGTGATGCTTCCCGTAGCTACGGAGATGGCACCACAGGGAGGCGGGAGAGAGCACAGAACTTCCTGTATGTTGCTCTGCAATTTCCTGTGGATCTACAATTATTTAGAAATCTCCAGTTTAAAACACTGCGCTGGAAGTTCAGCGCTTGCCTGTTAAAGGCTTGGGACCGGAGTGGGACTTGGTTCCCCTCAGAGCACGGGTCCTGCCCATCAGAGTGCCAGTCACCCCGCGTGACAGCTGCCCTGGAGCCTGGTCTGTCCCCCATAATGAGTCATAGTCCAGCACCTATTATAGAAAAGTCTTCGGCCTCCCAGGACGGGAGAAACGGCCTGAGCTGTGGGCCACCCAGGGGCGCCTACAGCCCCGCTCGGGGATCTTGGTGGCAGGCCCGGAACACCAGCCCTGAGTCACAGGGAGACAGGCCATCTAGGGTGGGCTCACAGGAGCACAGAGGCCAGGCGGTGGGGCTGGCCAACTCCTGGAGAACAGGGGTCCCCTGAGCTGGAGCAGGCGGGCGTGGTGAGGAAGGGCCCAGAGCCCGTGCTCTCCGGTGGACGCCAGGCAATGGACGCTGCAGAGCCCAGGCTGGGGCAGGCGGTACCTCAGAGGCCATCCTTCCCTGGAGCGGGGCCTGGGTGCCACCTGCTCACCTGGGCCACTGGGTGTTTGGGGGCTCTCGCGAGGAGTCCAGGGTGGCCGGAGCATGAGCCTGTGTCCACCATGCCTGTCAGCCTCATGTGCTGATGGCTGTTAGAAAGCAACTTTGGGCCGCTCGGATGCAGCTATTTTGCAGAAGGATGTCTGACATTAGAATTGGCCAGACTCTGAAATGCTTCTATTTATTTTGTTGTTGATGTCAATCCTCACTAGCGGATATTTTTTATTGATTTTTAGAGAGTGGAGGGAGGTGGGAGAGGGAAAGAGAAACATCAATGTGAGAGAGACACATTGGTTGGTTGCCTCCCACATGTGCCCTGACCTGGGGACCAGGGATCAAGCCTGCCACCCAGGTACATGCCCTTGGCGGGGAACCAAACTCGAGACCCCTCAGTCTGAGGCCCAATGCTCTAACCACTGAACAGACTGGCCAGGACAGAAACTACTTGGGTGCCAAGGCATTGTCAGTCCACACACACACACATGCAGGAGCACATAGGAGCACATGCATGTACACACCATGCACCGCCTACATGAACACACACACATGCACACACATGCTCTAACAGAGTCTAACACTACCCGTGAGGGAAGCCCTGACATATGCCTACCTTGGAGCAAGCCAGTGAGGATGCGTGAGAAGGTCATGAAGACCAGGTGGGCGCTGCCCAGGTGGGCGAGCAGCGGGGTGGCGGCGGTGAGGAAGCCCCAGGCGGAGGCTGACAGCAGGATGACCTTCTCGCCCCCGATCCTGGAGGGGCCGAGAGGGCAGTGATGGGGAGGCTGCGGGGCCAGAGATCCTGCATGGAGTCGGCCAGGTGGGGCTCAGGCCATCCCTTCTCGGAGCCGTTCTCCAGGGTCGCGCTGAGCCACAGCCTCTGCGGAGGAGGCCGAGGGTGAGAGCACAGGGTGCATCCATCCCCACCGCCCCAAGAGCTCCCAAAGGGTGCTGTGCAGCCCCTGGGCCGCGGGTCTCCAGCTCCCAGGAGGCCCTCCCCGGAGCTCCCAGCCCAGCACGGGAGTGGGGGGCGGACAGTTACCGGTCCCCCAGGTGGCCACCCAGGATCTGAGTCAGGCAGTAACCCCAGAAAAAGCTGCTGAGCACGATGCCGGCTTCTTTCTTGTTCCAGCCGAAGTCCTGGCTCATGGAGACAGTGCAGATGGGCATGCTGACACGGGCACAGTACAGCAGGCACGTGCCCAACAGCAGCGTCCCCGTCCATGCCTGGCGCTCAGGCCTGCGGGAGAGGAAGGGCAGAGTCTGACAAAGGCACACCACCTCCCAAACGCCAGACTCCCCGACATCTAAATGCCGCCTGTGGACTCCCAGGAGGAGAGGCAGCTCCAGGAACGTCACAAACAGCACGTGGGTGTAGGGCCGCTCAGACGCACTGTGGTCAGGGCCGTCACCCGGGACTACAGACCAAGGGGCCCAAGAAAGCAGCCAGATGGGAGCTGACAGCTAGTTCCTGCCAAGGGGGCAGTGAGGTGGGACCCCATTTGAGGCAGAGAGGGAGGGTCCTGTGGCTGGGGGGGAGAGGGCAACAACAGGTTGGGGGCAGGACAGTGGGTCCTGCAGAGTCCCCAGAAAAGCTGGGTCTGCTCAGCAGAGGCCCTTGGGCAGGCAGTGCTGGGCGGCCAGCAAGGGGACACGGTGCTGTGGGCCCCTTGGAAGAACCTGGCTGCTGGGAAGATTGTCAGACAAATGTCCACGGAGGGAATATCCACAAAACTCCTGGCCAGCGCTCTCAACTGTCTGTCATGAAAGCCAAGGGCCACAGCTGAAACTGGTTTGGCTCAGTGGATAGAGCATCGGTCTGCAGACTGAAAGGTCCCAGGTTCGATTCCGGTCAAGGGCATGTACCTTGGTTGCGGGCACATCCCCAGTAGGAGGTGTGCAAGAGGCAGCTGGTCCATGCTTCTCTCTCATAGATGTTTCTAGCTCTCTATTCCTTTTCCTTCCTCTCTATAAAAAAATCAATAATATATATATTTTTTTAAAAAACAAGGGCCACAGGTGGACACCCAGGAGACCTGCCCTGAGGACCCGTGCCTGCGGAGCCCCACAGGTCCTGGGACAGCAGAGAGCTGCAGAGGCCGGAACGCACTGTGGGCTTTGGTTTGTAACTGTCAGCACCGCTCACGGCCCATGGCAAACACGGCACTGACCTCAGGTGTGACCGGGGCAGCAGTGCGGAGCCAAGGAGTGCTGTACAGCTTTCCCAAAGGCAGTGACTGTGTGTGGGTGGGTGGACGACAGGGGCGGGCAGGAGGCGTCCTGCTGACGTGCATGTCTTGTGCGGTGGGGACAGCCTGAGAGTGTGGTGGCAGTTGGAGGCAGCTGGTCTGGACAGTGGCAATGCCCTAAAGCTGGGGGTTCAGGGTCCTGCCTGCACATGGACTCACACATCTGCCTGGGCCCTGGGGCAGCGGACCAGTCCTCCCAGGTTGGGCACTGCAGCGGGGAAGCGCAGGCTGTGGGGAAGGCCTGGTGGGTGAAGGGGCAAAGGTGTCAGTGTTGTAATGCTTCAGGAGGCTGCAGGGAGGAGAGGTCACGGGCGAGAGGCCAGGCCACTGGATCGATGGGCCATGTGGACATCAAAGTCACCAGGAAATGGCAGGGCTCAGGGAGAGGAAGGCAGGGCCAGGAGCCAGGAATCAAAAAGAAGGGTGGCTAGGAGGGGGCCAGCAAGGGCTTCGGGGGGATGTCAGAGCAGAATAGGGAAGGACGCCTGTGAGGAAGGACACTGGACTGTCCCCTCACTCCCAAACCCCCATTTGGACCTTTGTCTGGACCTGGCAGGGGCAGAGGCGGAGGGGGGGTCCTGGCGGCAGACATGGGGCTTGATCTGTGGCAGACCAGAGCCAGTCTCCCATCTGCCAGTCCCTCCTCCAGGCTCAAGCTGCACAAACAACTGGGGAAGACGGTCCAGGGTGAGGCCAAGACCACCCCAGGAGGGCTGGAGCCCACAATGGCTACGGAAGAGGCTGGAGGGTGAGGGACCTGGGACAAGTTGCTTAGCCTCCTCCAGCCTCAGTTTCCCCAGGGAAGAAGAGCCCATGATGTCTGCCTCCTTCATGAGCCAGCAAGCAGCAAGGTGTCCACAAGCTCTGGGTAGCCCCACGAGGAGCCACTGTGACTGGCCGGAGGGAGGCGTGGCAACCATGCCCCTCTCCTCCACCACCTGTCCACACGGGCCACCGTACTTCCCCTCAGTTGGGGAGGGAGCTGGAGGATGCAGCACCCTCCCTGCTGTACCATACAAGCAGAGACAGCTGATTTCAGGTTCGAGACCACCATACAAGGGTTTGGGATGAATGAGTCTATGTTCCAAACAGCCAGCCTGCTGCCCGCATGCCCATGTTTGCAGACCAGTCCCGCCTGGAGCTGGGACGCTCCTGCTGGCTGCTGTGGTCTGGCACAAGCCCGACCGACTCGGGAACCCCGTCTCTTCCCTGAGCCTCAGTTTCCCCATGTGTGCAATGAAGAGGTTGCATTTCAAGCTGGTTCTGCAGGTGCTCGGTGGGGTGCCACAGGCTGAGGCCCCAGGGCGCCCCAGCCACTACCTGCTTCATACATTGGAACTTCCTCCCCACGCCGGGAACAGGTCCTGTGCAGCGAGTGCACAGTTCTGTGGCCCCGGAGCCCCGCTGGCCGCACCCCAAGAGGCCACGGCAGGTGGTGTACTTGGAAATGGTCCAGTGACCCCTCAATGTCTACTGGGGAGGGGCCCTGTCCGTCATGCCCGGCCCTACTTCCTGGTTCTTAAAATGCTACTCAGAAGCGAGACAAGAATAGTCTCACAGGGGCAGATGGGACCGGTCTCAGTGGAGCCTCCCCTGCCTGAGAGGCCAAGGTAGAGGGGGAACTCCCACCAACTCTCCCTCTGGCGTTCACAGAACGACGAAGGCAGTGGGTCGGGCCAGGCACCTGAGAGGTCACAGAGCTCCCAGCAGTGCTTGCTCCCTGACTGCCTCCATGTCTGACATGGGACCCAAGAGGGCCAGGGCTGCAGGCTCCATGCAGGGTCTGCCACGTGGGCTCTGAGCCTAAGGTGCCGGCAGGGGCACTCCCCAGGGAGCTGCGTGGTGTAAGGTGCTCTGTGCTTCCCCCTCGGCCCTGGAACCACAGCCCAGTCCCTGAGCTGGCGGGCAGTGTCAGCTAAGTGGGCAAAGGGATGTCCGTACAGCTGTTGGGCACCAGAACAAGGATTTCTAGATGGAAGGGGTGACCCAGACCCAGAATGCTCAGCCCTATATGGCAGGACTGGTCAGGAGAGGCTGAGACTGCATCCCCCCACTCTGACCAGCCCTGAGTCTCAAGCTGGAGCCCAAGTCATCAAGATGCCTCCTGTGAAGCACCTAGCAATGTTTTCTGCAACGGCCCCTGTGCGTGCAGCACCCATGCCACACTAACATGCGGTCACGAGGCCCCTTGATTCAGAAAAGGGAACTGCAGAAGCCGCAGGCCAGGAGGGCAACAAGCCAGAGAGCACAAGTGGGTCCAAGGCTGCTGGTGGCCCCCACTCCTGGGATGTGGCTGGAGAGCAGCCCTGCCTCCTAGGTTGCTGTGAGTACAAGACGTGTCCAAGCAGAGGGCATGCAGAGCCAGTGGCGGCCGGCAGTAGCACTTGTTATTATTACCCAGTCATGGCTGAGAACAGCCAGCACCCACAGGCCCTCCAGGAACCGTCTGTCCTGTCTGTCTGTCCTGGGCACAACCCTCTGCCCAGCTGGCTGCAAGCAGGCCTGCCACCTGGCTCAAGCTGAGAGCCAGACCCCATCTCCATAACCAGCAGGTTGTGGAGGGAAGTGAGGGAGAGGCTGGCCAAAAGCACCCCTGGTCCAAGCACACAGCTAACAGCCCCCAGTCTACCCTGGGAGACACCAGAGCTGTGCCTGGGCTTTGTGGTCACACTCACTGGGCCAGCCCTGCTCCTCCCGCTCCCTGGTCTGTCCCGGGAGCCTCCTGGCTTTGATGGCTTCTTATGAACGCCAGCTTCTCCCTCTTCCCCGACAGCTTTGCCTTCATCTTGACCCCAACACTGGGGACTGTCCCTTCGGGTCTTCCCGCAGCCCTGTGCTGGGGCAGAGGCAGGAAGGCGCCATTATTCTGCCCGCAACAGGGAGGCCCCAAGAGCAGATTCACCGGGAACCCAAATCAGGAGGTGGACAAGCTCTGGGATTTCAGGGCCTGACTCTGGGCCCGGGTCCAGCTGGCTTGTCCTCAGCCCACAGAACCAGAGAAGTGCTGAGCCTTGGTGGCCTGGGGGCTTCTGGGGGGCTCCCTACCCCTTCCGTCTACAGTAGTGGAAACAGGCATGAAAAGGAGTGGGTTACTGCTGGGCCCTTCCTCTCCTCCTGCCAACTTCTCCTCTCCCCTACCCCCTCGGGGACCTGGCCCACATCACACACATGGCACGCCGTGGCAGGACTCGGACCAGCCCCTGACTGCCCCATGGGGTGACTCTGAACTGCTCCTCTGCTGCTCTCAGGTGTGGTCCTGCCTGGCAGGGTCAGTTCCAGCATGTGAGGCCAGGCCAGTGAGCGCAGGCTCCTCCCAACCAGGAAGTTGCCCCCTATCCCAAGCAGGCCCCCTGCCTGCATGACCTCCTGGGCCCCAGCAGCCTGGGGGTGGGTGGAAGGGAGGAGGGTCCTGCTGGTTGGAGTTACTTGTGCACTCCACTCCTTCCTCCCCAGGGTGGTGCCTACCCCCCATGAGGGCAAAGGAGGCCCTGCAGCTGGACGCCTCCCCCAGGATACTCTCCCCACAGGATGCGCCGCCCCCTCCCCTGATCCCCGCGCAGGCCCCTCCTCCCCACCTGGTCCACTGAGCGTCCCCAGCTGTGTCCTGGTGGGCCTTGTCCCGGTGGGCCTTGTCCCGGGGCGGCTGCATCGGGAGCAGACAGCCACGGTGCGCAGAGTCCGAGACCAGCTCCCGGCCCACAGCGCCGCCCAAGTCCACGTGTCAGTCCCAGCAGCGCTTCCGCCCGGAGCTCCCAGGACGTGTGGCCCCAGACGGCCACCCTGCAGGGCGGGGGAGGGGAACAGCGGCAGGCGGGGCGTCTCCCTCCTCCGCTCCGAGGTCTGTCCCGAGCAGCATGCTTCCCGTTTCAGGCGCTGGCTTCATCTGCCCTGCTCCCTGAGCTCCTGGAGCGCCAGCACAGGCTCCCACCCCGCCCCCACCCCCACCCCTGGCGGCGGCGGGCTCCCCTGCAGCTTTGTAGGGGCAGAGCCAGGTGGCCATCGCAGAGCCAGGAGCCTGCTGCCCCGTCTGTAAGTGGGGATGGCTGTTCTTCGCCTCACAGGGCTGTGTGTCATAAAATGAAAGTCAGGGGGATCTTATCTGGATGCAGGGACAGTAAGACTCAAGTGTAACTAACTTTTCTTTTTTAAAAATATATTTTTTATTGATTTAAGAGAGGAAAGGAGGAGAGAGAGAAACATCAGTGATGAGAGAGAATCATAGATCAACAGCCTCCTGCACACCTACCACTGAGGATCAAGCCTAAAACCAGGCATGTGCCCTAGACCGGAATCGAACCTGGGACCCTTCAGTCCCATGCTCTAGCCGCTAACCGGCCAGATCAAATGTAAACAACTTTTCAAATAAGTCTTTGAGGGTGGGCTCCAGCCTGTGACCTTGAACCAGGTGCAATGCCAGGTAGTCAGTGCCCACTGGGCAGCAGGTCTCATGCTTGTTAGGTTTGATGGAGCAATTGAGTTGATACCCCTCCCCCAGGAACTGGCTTTTTAGATCATTTCACTATGGACATTCCCTTTGCTGAGACCACTTTTCACTTGCGGTGACCACATTCCATTCTCTCCCCTCTGGGTATGCATGTGTATCCACAGCAGTCTAGGGACTGGCCAACTCCTACCATATTGAGCCCCCCAGAAGCTCCTCCTGCCTTTAGGACAAAGCCTACACCATCCCTCCACCACAGAGTGGCCTTCCCAACCCTCCCTCAGTTGCCTTGAACAGCGTGCCCCTGGTGAGCCTGCACCTCTACCCTAGAGCTTTCACCTGGCTTCATTCACACTTGCTGACCAGTGGCTACTCTTCCATCCACGGGGCAGAAGGTGGTGGTGGAGATTTATTCCCCCGAGGAGCCCTGGCCCACAGCCGAGAAATCTGTTGCTAAATCCAGTACCAACAGTCTCCTACTCTCTACCTGGTAGTTCAGCTTCGTCCATTGCACCAGACTATCTGAAGGTCATCTATAACAATAAAAGCTAATAATAGTTGCTACTTAGACCAGACATCCTTCTGGACAAAGCCAGGGCTGCGAGGGAAGCCTGGGTCCTGGGTCCAGAAGGAAGCCGGCATCAGCAGCCAAGGGAAGGGAGGCCTACTCTTGCACGAATTTCGTGCGTCGGGCCTCTAGTCTTCTACAATCAGAACCACGTTGTCGTGGATGTTGGTTATTTGACTGCTCAAAGTTCCTTCCTCCTGGAGCTGATGTTCTGGGCGGGGAGAGAAAACACAGGGAGAATAAAGAGGGTGGGGTAGGGAGGGTTGTTTCTGGAATCGTCTGGGCTGGGCAGTCCCTGAAAAGTGTGCTGGAAAACTTCAAGTAAAGGGGGAAGTGCGCATGTAGGGGCTGCAGGGCTCTGTGGGTGGGAGCCATCAGAGTGGCATGGATCACCTGGTGGGCTGCTCAGGGTGTGGACAGTTCAGGAAGACCAGGGTGGAGGCAGGGAGGCCAAGGCCACTGTATTACTTGGGGGTGAGGATGGGAGCTCCAGCCAGGGTAGAACAGTGGGCTGAGAGGAGCTGAGTGCAAGCGAGGGTGGGTGGGGTGCGATGGAGAGAGGGCTCAAGGCAAGCATCTGACACTCCAAGCACCCTGAGCTTGGCAGGGTCTCCTGCCTAAGGCAGTGTCACAGTCCAAAGGGAGCCTAGAAACATTTGTCCCTGCCGGGCTGGGGTGGACACCCCCTCTCCAGGCTCCTAGCAGATCCCAGGAGCTACCCCATACTAGCTGCCCTTGAGGTCCAGGTGTGGAGAATTCTAGGAGACGGCTTAGCACCTGGTGTGCAAGAGGAGGACAGAGGGTGGTGACAAGCAGTCCTAGCAGGGTGTTGGTTCCGCCTCCTTCTTTGGACCCTTCCTTTACTTTCTGCTGCCAAGCACAAGCCATAAAGGTTTATGGCTAATCTGTGCCTTACTGTAACTGCCTGCCCCGCTCCAGGGCCACAACCAGCACAGCTTTGTAAAATTCAGACTCAGCAGACCAGAGCCTGTCTCTCCCATGCCCCTCCCCCCACATCACCTCTGCCCCCAGGGCAGCCCAATGGGCACAGTACCTCCTGAAGATAACGCATGGCATTTCCTGCACTGTGGATAGGTAAGAGGAAGCAGTAAGGAATTGGCTGCAGACACAATTCGAGTGAAACAGGGGGCACCCTGCTTTCGAGCTGAGAGGATCAAGAACTGTATACAATTTCACCAGCAACCAGAAAGACAAAGTTTATGGTGAGTCAAGGTGAGTGTGACACTGGTCTCCATGAGGGAGTCGTGGAGGCCTGCAGCAGCTCATTCTGAGAGCTGGTGAGGCATTGCCACCTGACTGTTCCAAGCACTGCTGTTCCACACTTGTTTCATCCCAACAATATGACAGCAAGGCGCCACTGCCAGGCGGATCCTGTGCCGCCCTCACCCTGCTCCCTCCCAGGCCCTTCCGTCTTGGCGTGGGAATCTGGGAATCCTCACTGGTTGTGTGGCTTCACTTTCTTTTAAATTATTTTTAAAATATATTTTTATTGTCTTCAGAGAGGAAGGGAAATAGAAACATCAATTATGAGAATCACTGATAGGCTGCCTCCTGCATGCCCCCTATTAGGGATGGAGCCCGCAACCTGGACACGTGCTCTTGACCAGAATCAAACCCAGGACCCTTCAGTCTGCAGGCCAACGCTCTACCCACTGAGCCACATTGGCCAGGGCCACCCTAGGTTTTTTCAGGCGTCCCACAGCTTCCTTCACCTGGGAAGGTGCAGTGGACCCCAGGGGACATGGGCATGAGCATCACAATGAGAAGTCGTAGGGCTGACTGCAGCCACTCTGATACATAAATGTTTGGAAATTTCATAAGTAAAAAACTTACTTGGGATATTCCAATTCAGTTTAAAATTATGCAGTGGACTAGCCAAATAGTTCTACTTCCTTCACAAAAATGACACCTTTTTTTTTTTTTTTTTAATAAACACACTTTTTAAAAAAATATATTTTATTAAATTTTTAGAGAGAGGGATAGAGAGTTAGAAACATCGATGAGAGAGAATTATCGATCAGCTGCCTCTTGCACATCCACTGGGGATGTGCCTGCAACCAATGTACATGCCCTTGACCGGAATGGAACCTGGGACCTTTCAGTCCGCAGGCCGACGCTCTATCCACTGAGCCAAACCGGTTTTGGCACAAAAATGAAACTTATGGTAAGTGCCAGAACTCTAGAGAACAGACGACAGATTCCAAACAAAACACACAGATGTGCACAGATGAGACACATGCAGACACCCCCAGATAAGACACACACGGACAAACACACAGAAGAGACATGATATAGTGCTGCTCCCAGTGGGGACAGAGCAGCAGCCAAACGGAAAGGCTGTGGAATTCCACTTTCCTCATAGCTTCCCACCACGTCTCAATAGATCAGACTGCACTTAATTCTCATTCTTATAAGAGTGTCTCAGCGGAAGAAAGAGGGCTTTTCGGCTGACCACTCTGAGAAAAGCGTGAAAAATTTTACTACAAAATTGATAAGAGGCAGCAAAAGCAACCTGTTCTGCATTTTTCAAAAGGTACTGGGCATCGCCCAGCCAGTGTGGCTCAATGGTTGAGCGTCAACCTATGAACCAGGAAGTCATGGTTTGATTCGCGGACAGGGCACATGCCCAAGTTGCAGGCTCAATCCCCAGTGGGAGGTGTGTAGGAGGCAGCTGATTGATGCTGCCCATCACTGATGTTTCTCTCTCTCTCTCTCCCTCTCTCTCTCTCTCTCTCTCTCTCTCTCTCTCTCTCTCTCTCTCTCTCTCTCTCTCTTTTCTCTTCTTTCCTCTCTGAAATCAAGAAAAAAAAAATTTTTTTTTAAAGGTACTGGGCGTGGACATGCCTGCAGGAACAAAATGGGACTTCAGGGTCACATGTAGAGAGTGTACGGAAGGTGACGGCTTCTCCAGTTTACATGACCAATGCAATAGCACAACCCACCGTGAACCTGAGAAAGCTGTACAGATTTCTGAAACAAAACACACCCAGTGCGCCGAAACCGGTTTGGCTCAATGGATAGAGCGTCAGCTTAGGGACAGAAAGGTACTGGGTTCGATTCCGGTCAAGGGCATGTACCTTGGTTGCGGGCATATCCCCAGTAAGGGGTGTGCAAGAGGCAGCTGATCGATGACTCTCTCTCATCGATGTTTCTAACTCTCTCTCTCTTCCTCTCTGTTCAAAATCAATAAAAATGTATTTAAAAAACAACAACAAAAAAACACACCCAGTGTAAAAAAACACCCCACCCACAAGGTGTCAGAGTAGCACACATCAAAACCACACCTCTCCAGGCTGAGGACAGGCCTGGGAGGACAAGCCTCAGAGCCAGTGAGGATCCCACTGTGCCTGACTCAGCGGGGTCAGCGGGAGCGCAGACAGACCACCATGCCACCGCCACCAACGACCTAGGGGGAGTGCTGCTCAGGGTCCCGGACGTCATGAAACACGCAAGGTTCTTTCTGAGGCTGCTGCTCTGCCATGCTCCTGCACTAAGTGTACAGAATATGAAAATAAAGACGCTGCCTTACAAATGCCGTCCCCAAGCTGTCTTCTCGTCACATCTTCAGGACAGGATGGGAGGCAGCACCTCCTTGTCCCTGGGGCCTCGCGTAGTCACATGCCAGGCCGACTTCCACTTCACATCCTGGGATACATGTGCCTTTTTCAAAACCCGGACACCTCCACTCACATGGCAAAACATGTTAGTTCTCACTTGCTTTGTGATCATCCCTGTGCTCTGGGGAGATTCCTCACATGACGTCCTACCAGGAACACAGAAAACCAGAATATTCTCCAACTCTATTTATTTAAGGCATTTTCAGAAAGCATTACATTTTCAGGAACACCACAGCGAGGCTCCATGAGACAAAGCAGAACAGTTGAATGACTCTCCTCTTCATGACCTCTCAACGGCTTAGCTCAGTGTGGAGACTGTAAAAGGGTGGCAGGTAGCCAAGGCTGAGAGCTGCTCCTCCGTAGGACATGCCAGGCCACTAGCAGGCCACGGAACAGACCTTTCAAAGGCAAGAACAACACCTGAATTCTCTCGAGCTCCCCATCAGGCTCACTGCAGACGCAGCACTGGCTAAACTCCTTATCTAAGTAAAATGCCAACCCATCGACTTTCAGCTCACGATAACCCGCTTACATGACCAATGCAACAACAATCTGAATTTCTGGGTAATTACTACAGTCAGGACTTCCATTGCCACACACCTTGGCCCTCACACACGAAGACACCATCAGATTTAACGACGTAGTAATCACGCACATGAGCGGTCTTACACACACTGATAAGAAAAGGTGGTGAAGACTATTCTGAGTTATTTGTGCATCTCTAAAAATGTAGTTTCATCTCTGTCTCTCTCGCTTCTGCTGTAGTTAAGTATCAATGACCTGAATGTGAAACGTGACTAGTGAAGCGGTCCGAGTGGAAACATCACAAGTGGCATGTGGGTGAGGCAGAGGACATCCATGGTGACTGCGTTTGACCTCCGTGTCTGTGACTGACTGACAGAACCACCAGGATGCCCACACTGCCCACTGCTCTACCCACTGGGAACCTCAGCCTCTGGGAGAAGCTGTTTGTTCCGAATCCCATGGCACTCGTGTGTCCCCAACTACACAGGCTGCCACTTCCAAGCTCTCCAGCCCTGGGCAGAAGGCACCTGTGCGCTCAGAACTGAGAAGCCTACAGAACCAGCGGGTGTGAGCCGGTGAAACCACGAGGCTGCGGTGCGAGACCTCCAGGCCAGCCGCATGCCCAGCTGAGGCCTCCACCTCCTCAGGGCACGGTTTCCCCTCACAGAGCTGGGCAAGTAGCCCTCCAGCTTCAGGACCAGACGAAAGCACTGCCATCACCAAGCCCCGAAAACAAAAGGTTTGTGATGATGATTAAAACTTTTTAGAGGCATTTTGGTCGTTCTTGAAATCAAAGCATAACCTTTATTTTCAATAGAACTGCCCAGAAGAGATGGTTTCTTAACCCACTAGAAAAGAGTCTCTGACCACAGACAGCACCAAAATATATATTTGAAAAATTAAAAAACACACAGCCCAACCCTCACACACACGTGTTTCCCAAAGACACACAACCCAGACCGAAGGAAAACAAACCAAACTCGATGCCCTCACACACAAGAAGTCTGAGTTAGAGTTTACAAGTTTATATAGTCTCTGTCATGAAAGAACAAACAAAAGCCAGGCGAAAGGGCAACTTGTACGTGGAGACAGGAGAATGAAGGAATGCGTGTCATCTGCCCACAAGCTCTCAGAAAGCAGGACAATGACCAGTGCTTTCTGTAGATTCTGGAGGACCCGGAGAGGTCACTGGTGTCCATAACAGGACAGTGCAGTGGCTAGGGAACCCTTCGGGAACAGCACACCTCAAGCGCCAGGCGCCACTACCTTCAGGATGTGCCACATGCGGTCGGCACAGGCTTCCGAAGACAAGATGTCATTCGCTGCAAACTTTCCAGCGCTTGAAAGGGCCATTATTCCTTTAAAAAAGATGCTGGGATCCCCAAAAGTAAAGGGGGGACAAGAGTCTCTACTGCAGTAAAAATCTCCCAGTCAAGCTGGACATTCCAGCGAGTCCATGTGGTGACACAAGGGGTCCCCTCACAGGTCTACTTGGGCTCCTCGATGACGCCTTTGCTGAGATCTGTCATTTTGGGGTACTTTACTTTCTTCTGGTCCAGCTCATTCTGAGCCCAAAGGAGCAATTTCAGTAACTTGGCCAGTTTGGGTGTTGACTCCCGGTTCTCATAATCCAGGACAGCCTGGTTCACTTCACTCCACACCTGGAAAAGACATGTCCAGCCAGCCAGCCACATGCAGGCGGCCAGAGAGTCTGTTACAACACGCATTTTATCCATCTGCAGAGGCCTGTAACCACTACACACATGTAAAGCCCTCTGCATGACACACACACACACATCCCCGCCCACAGGGAGCTCACAGTCCAGCTGGCAACTGTCACACCTGGCCTGGATGGCAGTTCAGTGCCATTAGCCAGGCTGGAGGAACTGCAAAAGGAGCAAGCAGGGATGACAAGCTCCACCCTCAAAGCCTCAGGGAGCCTGCGGTGGCCTGAAGGACAGTGGAGGGGCCATGGGAGGGAGGCAGCTGTACTTGGGGAAACGACTGATGTCATGTTGGCTGGAATACAGAACCAGCAGTGAGGACAGGAAGCTTCAGAAACAAGTCTAGGATTTTAAATAAAAAATACTTAGGACACCTATTGCTAAGAGGCCCCAAATAAGACAGGAGGAAGGCTAAGGTAAATGAGAAAAACCGGCAGAGGCTTAGATACAGCTGAGCCTTGAACACCACCTTACCTGGACCTTTCTATAAGCACAGTTGGCCCTCCATACCCAAAGGTGGGCTGCACCTCCACCACTGGGATCGGTGGATGTGAGGGGCAGCTGCATGCACTGTCACAGAACCTCCACAGATTCTGGGTTTTTATACAAGGGACTTGAACCTCCAAATTCATTGGGGGGGAACGGGGAGTTCTAAAACAAACCCCCCGTGGTTATGGGGGAACAACTGTAAATAGTTAGGTTCAAGGGATTCAAAGTCATACATATGCCCAGAAACCCCACCCTGTGCAGGGTCACTGTGCTGTTGTAAGGTGCTGCGCCTAGCTGCACACAGGAAGAACTGGTGCTATCATACCAGGGCCACACACCCGACATGATGTGCCCTCACTCTGCACGGGAAGCGCCCCCCATGGGTTCTTTACCTTCTGCCTCTGCATCATATTCAGAAGATCGCCAAAGGGCGAGTCCTCGGGGTTGTCGAAGGCCAGCAGGGCCAGCGTGCGCTCCATCTCCGTCAGGCACTCCCTGCTCTCCTCCCCCTGCTCTGCCAGCTGCGTCTGCGCGAACTCCAGTGCCGCCTCCGTCTCCCGCTGGCGGATCAGCTCGATCAGGTGCTGTTGCTAGTCAGGGGCCAAGGCGCACAGACTTACACACCACACCTGGGCCAGCAGCCCCACCCCCCCCCCACCCCACCCCCGGGGCGGCACCAGGCTACTCTCTAGTCAGAAGGACAACTTAAAAGACACTTTCCTAGCACCTCTGAGTTTTTAAACTTGCATTTTAACAGCAACTTCTGAAATGCATAACACAAGAGCTACTTCAAGCCCCTTCCCCACGTCAATTAAACGATATTCTATTAACACAGATTCACCCGACACTGCTGAATCATCACAAATCATTTCGCAGAGCCGACAACTCTCAACCAAAACTCACCTGCAGGTGAAAGTAAAGGTAGCGGTTGGTGTCCAGCAGTTCTGGGTGGAGGCTGTTGATCAAGGCGATTGCCTCCTGAATCTGTCCCTTTAGGATCATCTCACGGATTTTGATCCGCTCGTCAAGGGTTTCTAGATCCACACTAGGCTCAATCCCAGACTCCATTCGAAACTTCTCTGCAGCTTCCTTAAAGCCCTCTGGAAATGAAAACTGGCCTCACTGCTCAGAAAGTCAGCAAGATATTAAACGCAAAGTCTCTCCATCACTGTCTGCCCCATCGCCTGGAGTAAATCACCCCCACATGAACCGTACTTTCTCAGGGCCTGGGTGTTCATATCTTTGTGAATTCCTGGTTATGCCTTGATATACAAAAAGTGAAGCCAGAAGTGAGAAAAACCAAGATGGTGGCCTAGGTAAGTGCCTAAACTGCCACCTCACACAACAATCTCAAAACAACTAAAAGTCAGAACAGACATCATCCAAAACCACAGGAAAGCTGGCTGAGTAGGAAATCTACAACTAGAAAGAAGGAGAGAGGCTCATGGATCAGGGGAGCCCCCCCAACTACACTGAACTCCCCAACTACACTGAACCCCATGGACCCAGGCTCATACGGGTGGTGTCTGGACTGTAGAGAAAGGCACCCGGAGACTCAGAGACTGGGAGACTCGGGGAGCCAGGAGCCAAAACGGGCAGGCTCTAGAGTTGCGCGCAATTAAGTGCGCGCAGAGAGGTCTGACCTCGGAGGTTGTCGCAGCCTCTCCATAGCGGAAGGAGTCATAAGCTCCTGACTGCACCGAATCTCAGTTCCGACTACACTGAGCACTGAAACCCAGTTCAGGGCAAGCCCCTAGAGCACCCACACTCTTACAAGGGGAATCTGGACTGTCAAGAAGAAACTCAAGGGATCTGTGGAAGGCAGAGGTCTGAGGCGCGCACACAAGGGCAGGACTTACAGGAAGCCAAGACTGTCAGCTCAGCCCTGAGACTTCGCTCCATCCAAGCTGTGCTCAGAGGCTTTTGCAATTTTGCAAGTCTGATCCTGTAAGACTGTCTCCAATACAGAAGGTATCCCGGTGTAGACACAGCTGATAATCACATCAAATTGGCCTGGAGGTCAATTCCTCCCAGTGATACCAACAACAATCAAGACTTAACTACAGCCAAAACCCGGTTTGGCTCAGTAGATAGAGCTTCGGTCTGCGGACTGAAAGGTCCCAGGTTCGATTTTGGTCAAGGGCATGTACCTTGGTTGCGGGTACATCTCCAGTGGGAGGTGTGCAAGAGGCAGCTGATTGATAATTCTCTCTCATCGATGTTTCTAGCTCTCTATCCCTCTCTCATCCTCTCTGTAAAAAAATCAATAAAATATTTTTTTTTAATGTAAAAAGCCAAAAAATTTTATTTTTGCCTCAGGTACTATTATTTCAGACACCTCCTAGCCAAGAGAGGATGTCTTTAACATGATAATATACAAATCTGTACGTTCACACTGGGTTTTATAACGCCAGAACAAACCTAACTGCACACAGAACTTTGGTAGTACACAGAAGGGAGCATCTGTAGCATCCTGATCGCAGGCTCTTACCTGTGACTAGGTAGTTCATGATGAGGCGATTCATGTCTGCTCGCTGCACGTGTAAGTTATTGAGTTTTTCCATCCACTCATCTTTCGTGATTTCATCAGGTTTTTCTGTGTAACTCATTCTGCTTTATTTCTACAGGGAAAAATTTTAGGAATTGGTGAAGAATTCTCTAACAATTGTAATCATTTCAGAAACAAACACAGTGACGTAGTAAGAAGCAATAGAGAGTGGGAAGATACTTTAAATCTGGAGAATAGCACATGCAAAGGGCCATCAACCCCAGCACAGGGTCAGGGACCAGGAAGACTTGGTGTTCATAAGGTAGGATGAATGCAAGAAAGAGCCAGGGGTCAAAGAACCAAGAGGTCATCTGAGGTGGAACTGAGCGAGGCTGAGGAGGGAGTTTACATAAAGTCTCTCCAAAGTGCAAAGAGCAGTTGCCAGAGGTATGACCCAAAGAATTACATATTATGACATACATACTCAAGAGGAACTGGTAATCGACCACCAGACCAACAAGAACTAGGAAGTGACACCACCAGCATCACAAAGACCCAATGACCAGAGTTACTGAGCTCTCACTGCGTCAGAGCAGGCTGCACTGGGAGAAATCTGCAGCCCTCAGGAGGCCACACACAAGTGTTCCCACAGCCCCAAGATTCTACTCCTGCCAGACCACACCTCCAGAACTCACTACCTTCACCAGACATACGAGCCTGTTCACAGAAACACTATTCCAGATGGCAGGAACACAGAAGACATGAGCCAGACGTCCAAACCCTGGGGCAGGTGTGTGAGGATCCAGAACTTTTCAGACCACACAAAACTAAGTGACAGTCTCCACTATATGGCATGGTGCCTTCTTGGGTTTGAGGCAGCACCCCATTATCAAACATCATCTCTTCTGTGAAATGGGTATTAGTGCTGAGGGGAATATAGGCCGTTCAACAGCCTCCACCACTAAATAGGTGAAAAACAAAAGCAAACACTTGGTTTTCAGAGCTATTTGGATTTAGGTTGCTGAGACGGGATTGTGATTGACTGCTCATATGGCAGAAATTAAAATAAATGAAGTTAAAATAAACAAAGGGAGTTAAAATAAATGAAGACAGCTATGTGAACTGCTCTTAGAAACCAGCTGAGGAGTATAGCAGGTTGCAGCAGAGGCCCAAGAGTGGCAGGCAGCTTAGTAAAGAACAAAAACAAGGCAAACTGCAAAAGGTGCTTTGGCAGTAAATACACATGAAATGGGAAACTCAGGAGGTGCAACCAGGAAGAAGGGGTGGACAGGTGCTGTCCCTGGGAGAACCACCCAGGCTTCTGAGGTGGGGGTGCTGCTGACATACCCACCAGGAACACGGCTTTATAGCGGCAAGCACATGCTCAATGCTTCAATACATTTTAAAAAATTACAAGATAGCAAATGCGGAGTGGTGAGAGTTGAGAAGGAAGACCAGTAAGGAGCCACCCAAACAAGAGGGACCAGTGGCAGATGTGCTGGGGACGCCTGTGGGCCTTGCTGCTGGACTGAATAAGGTAGAATGAGAGGACGACTGGAAGGATGAAGCTGAGCCCTCGAAGGATGGGGCCACAGTGAGGAGGCAGCGCTGGGACAGGAACAGGTTTGGGGAGCAGGGCCAGTTTGGGCTGCCTGTCAGACATGCAGCTAGGCAACTCCAGCAGGCACCTGGATTACAGGTCCTGAGCTCAGCGCTGGGAACATTAATTAGGGAAACATTCGCCAAAAAGTAGGGACAGCCAGGTCACCCAGGGAGACAGTGTGGGTAGAGAAGCAAAGGGACACAAAACAAAGTCCTGGCTCGTGGGCGATGCCAACATGCAGAGAGCACCGAGACACAACCAAGAGACGCTGTTCTTCAAACACCACCCCTCGCGGACGCGGCCAACTGCGTCACTCAGACCAAACTCTCATTCCCACACGGTACAAAAAGACCCCTGTAGGTCTCTGCGTTCTCAGGGGCAACCGCACCGACTGCACCGCTCCCGGACGGCGAGAGACACTTCCGAAAGCGACCCCTTCGGAGAAGTCAGCAGCCAAACTCCAGCAGACACAACTAAACAGTCCAGCTCCGACGGAGGGCACTTGCTCCCCAAACAGCAGTGTCCGTCCGTTCTCGCCGGTTCGGTGTCTGCAGGGAGCAGTTGTTAGAAAAATCGATCTCCTGGCAAAGGCACCAGTGCCTGTCTCAGTATTCGGGTTCCGAACGCCGGGCCGCTCCCGGCGGTGTTCTCCCGGCAGGACCACAGTGCCGGGCAGCTTCGGCCGGAGCAACGGGCAGTTTGACTTGCAAATCCAGGGGGCGACGCCGCCGCCGCCCGAGAACAAGCCGCGACCTGACATCTGCTCGGATCTGGGAGCCCTGAAGACACCGCGCAGGTCCGACCCCCTCTCCAGCCCCCTTTTGGCCCCGCCGTGCTCCTCGGGGACGCTCGGCCCGACCGCCGGGGCCCACCTTGGCCATCTTACCGTGTGGATCCCGCCTCCCGCGCTGCGCAGTTCCCGCGGCCGCTCTGGGGGCCGGGCCGGGCGGGGAGGGGCGGCGGCGGGGGGCTGGGGGAGGCGGAGGCGGGGGCCGCGACAGAGGCGGGGCGGGAACGCGAGAGCAGACGCACCGGCTGCCGTCCCCCTCAGCCTCTTCCCGCGAGATCGCGAGATCGCGAGCCGGCAGCCAATCAACTGCTCCAGCGACAGGGCGTGGCGCGGCGGCTGCCCGGAAGTGCTGAACTACAGCTTCCGTCCTTGCGCTGAACGCTCTAATCGGCGCCCAAGCTCTACGGGTTGGCGCGAGAGTCAAAAGGCATCGTCCGCCTCTGGGCAAAATGGCCGCTGTGCAGGCGTCGCTGTGGGAGTACTTCACGCGAGGAGTGCTGCCGCTAGACTGAGTCCGAGGCGAAGGTGCCAGTGTCCCTTCCGTCGTTTGTGTGAGCCCAGAGGGCACGGGACGGGGTTGGGTGGGCACAGGCGCCGGGACCCCGGGCCGCCCCGAGTTGAGTTCCTCCCGACCGGCCGCCCAGGCCCGGGAGGAGCCGTCCGAGCGCGGTCAGCAGGAGCATCCCGTTCAGCTGTGTGGCGGCCCTGGTTCCCGGCCGTGTCGGGAACGCGCACTAACTCCTGATGCATCAGCTCCCGCCACCCCGGCGGACGGACGGGCGGGCGGGCGGGCGCGGTGGCGACGGCGGGGTCCCTAGCGGCGCGGCGCGCACCTGGGGGACGCGGAGGCGCACGGACACCGGAGTTTGCGGGTCGCAACCCGTCTGCTCTACAAGAAGGCAGGCTCCGAGCAGGGCCGGTTTCCCCGTCGCGGGAGGGAGGTGGAGCGATTTCGAGCGCCTCGGGAAGGCAGCGGAGGGCGGCCCCGTCCGCGCCCCTTTGAAACTCGAGGGAGCATTTTATTCTAGGTGGTTCTGTCCATGCTTAGCTGAACCAAGACCCCGGGAGGCAGGTTAAATTGAGGGCGGGGTGATCTGGTCACCCTCCCACTGTATCTTCATCGGCATGTATTTCCTGTTTCGGATGATGCCATTAAGTCCAAGGCACTGGTTATGTCATAAGTTTCTTTGCAAGAGTAAAAGCAACAGTAATATTTTAATGTTTAACTCCTGATGTTGTAACGTAGACTGTGTGCAGCATAGTGCCACTTCGAACAAATGGGGTGGCCTGGGGGTTGGACGGGCCGTCCCACTGCAGACCAGCAGGGCACAGGCGGCACCCCTGGTAAGCCATTCAGACCTGTCTGGTCGAGAATTCGAAATACGGATTGTTTTAGGAGTTGACCCTTTTTTTTTCTTTTTTCCCCCCGCAGTTTAAATTATATCATCAATACACACGTATGTGTACATAAATGCATGCAATATATATGTTCACGGCCACGTATTTTGTGGGTTTTTTTTTTTTTTTTTCTGTATATGTTTTAAGGGTTCTTTTTGCATGGCCCAGATGTTGTAATCGGATGTTTGGCCAAAGGTGGCGCCATTGAATTAAGATGAGACATTTTTCAGTTAATGTCCATATTTTCCCTTTTTTAAAAACACTTGCAAAATTTTGCCTTTTTTGACTTTGAAATCATCTTCATGCTTTGAGTACTTTGTGTTGGAGGGAGAGGAATTTTGTGTCTGACAGGCTCCCAGGTTTTCTCATTCCTCTGCACAACCAACCATTCCACCTTTATAGACAGAGTTGGGCGCTCTTTTTTTCCTTGGGTTCCTACATTTTGGAAGCAGTTGGTTTAATGTGGAACTCAAAAATCCCTGTTATGGAAGGATGATTAATGGGTATTGGTTTTTTTGAAATGCAGAATGAGAACCTCTAGGGTATACTTTCAGAATCCCTAAGAGCTCAGCCTCTGTTCTTGTTTTTGGTGTTTCTGCCAGACATCTTTCTTGTTTTTACTGTTTTGTTTTAGTGAGCCAGAAAAAAAAAAAAAAGGGCAACCAGTTTTGGGGTGCGGAGTCTAAACCACCTGCAGCCAGGCTAAGAGGGAAAGCCAGACACACACATCTGTCCGGTGTTTTGCTACCAGTTTTATACATTGGATGAGTGAGAGATGTAAGCCTCTGATAGGATTTACAGAGTTTTGAACAGCGGAGGCGGGGATGGGGGTGGGGCCTAGTTCTGGGTGGCCCTCCTGGGATTAGCTGTGGCTGCTGATGGGGAGATTCATGTGCTAATCAGAAAGGGAAGCTCCTGGGGTTTGAGGGTGGCTGGCTATTCTCTCTTTTGGATAATCACGAAATAGCCACCTGGAAATTAATTCTAAATTCTGACAGGTATGTAAGCAGACTTTTGTTAGAGCTGGCTTTATATACAATGTCAAAGTGGTAAAAATCAGGTTTTTTAAAAATAAAATGTTTGAAGCTTTTGTTAGCTATAAAAAAAATTACTAGATTTATGTTCCTAGAGATTTATATTCTAGCCACAGGGAATGGTGTGTGTAACCGTTTCATTCACGTATTTTAATCCCACAGATGGTTAAGGGCACAGCCTGGGTATCAGGCAACCTGGAGCAGGGTGGGTGGGTTTATTGCCCCTTCCCTTCCTGTAGTGCAGCCTGGGGCAGCCCAAGGAAACAGTGCCACTGAAATGTGCCACTGCGTTCTCTCCAGTAAGCCTTGGGCCAGGCCTTTTAGCCCACGACCCCTGAGTTTTCCCTAATTGCTAGCAGAGGTTAGGGAGGCCCAGCGAAGGGGTCCAAGAGGTCTGACCTTGGCCTTTCCCACCCCCTCGGGAGGTTTTTGGGCTGCTCCACATCTATGAATTCCAAGTGAGAGTAATAATAAAACTTTGTTGCTGCTTTGATAGTTTTGAATTGTCCTTGGAAAGGGGCAGAACCTCAGATTGTGGCTCTCAAGATTGCACTTGATCCCAACGGTGTTCTGCTTTAGGGTTTTCCTTTGAGACCAGGACCCTGCTTCCCAATGGGCTTTAATTCAGGGTGAGAAGAGACTGAAAGCCAGGAAGCAGTTTGTTGAAGGACTGGCGAATCCCAGGTCTTTTCTGCTTTGATTGACTTCCATGAGGTGTGGGGTAGCAGGACCGTATTGGTACTAATCATATTTTTCCCACAAAGACTCAAACCCCATTGAGGCATGGTAGCCTTCCTGCTCCTCTGGCCCTCTGAGCCACTCCGGTAGCCAGTCCACAGGACTTGGGGTGTTTGTTATGCATTGGGGTTATCTAAGGAAGAATTTGAGACACTGGAGACTACTTTTAAATTTAGGTTATTAAAATAATTTTGTTAGGAGGAAGTATTTCTTAGCTGGTAGATTTCAACTAAAAAATACCCATTCTGTATTCCAGAAATGCCTCTTTCATGATGAGAAGCAGCTCCCTTGAGGAGATGCCACAAATGGGCTGGAATTACCTGGAGGTCAGAGGGGGAGTGCCTGACTCCTCCCACTGGGAGGCGCCTCTCAGCCCCAGACCCAGTCAGCCTGCTGGGAGAGGTGTAAAGGCAGTCCCAGGGCTGAGGGTCATCTAACTGCAGTGAGGCTTCCCTCGGTCCCCTTGGTCTCCCATTCTGTGCTTCCTCAGGCTTCCTGGTCCACTCTCAGCCCTGTCCTTAAATGCTTTTCACCCCTCCAAGCACCTGGCCTTACACTGTACCCCCAAGTTAAAATCTCAACTTGCAGAAAAACATTGCTGCTGGGTTTTGTTTTGTGGTTTTGTGTGTGTGTGTTTGTTTTTTTTCATTTAAGGACCCTCAACTAAAGAGACTGGGCACGTGGGGTTCCCCCATTCTAACTCCCATGTAGGGGCCCTTTGTAGTGACACTCTGTGATCTTCCCCAGTGCCCAGCATACCAGCCCCATTTTACAGACTACTTGCCAAGATCAGTCATCATGCTTGTTCAAGCCAGTTTACACTGGATCTGTTTGGTCTCCAACCCTCCCACTGCACCTACCTGGGGGCAAACCTGAAGACACAAGATGGAATAGTATAGAGCCCATCCCTGCAAGATTCCATGAATGTGGTCCTTAGAGATGTCTATTAAAAAGCATTCCTGCTCCAGGCCCCAGTTCTTGTGCACATGTAAGCATCTGAGAGACCCAGCAGTGTCAGAGGTGCAGCTTAATGCATACAGGGCACCTTTCCACTTTTTGCCTAGGTTAGTGAAGTTTCGCTCCAGAACCCCCTAGGGGTTCCCGCCACTTCCAAGGAACGTGGAAGTGGGACTGTAGGGGCAAGTGATGGGAACAGAGGTCAAGAAGTTACTGCCCTTGTGGCAAATGTCCAGTGTCCACGGTGTCCTAAGGCAGCAGTAGTTGCTCTCTGAGGTCGACTGAGTATTTGGGGACAGGCAGGTGCTGGGGTGGCACTAGTGAATACTAAGTGAAGAAAATCCGTGTGGAGGGTTGCGCATCTGCCAGAGCCCTTTCCCTTTCTGCACAATAATTGTCTCACCTTTCCCTCCAACCCCGTGGACAGGTGTTCCAGGTTGCTTGCTTGCTTGTTTGCGGGCGGGCGGCTCGCTGTTCTCCTTGGCCCCCTGGGCTGCAATCCGGAGAGACAAAACGCAGGCGGGTGGGAAGGGGCCCTGTGCCTTGTTCTTTTGACCTTGGGAGCCCACCAATAGGAACCGGGCCACTGTGCGCTCCCTGGAGATGGGGGGATCTACCGTGGGCTCACAGCCTGGATTCCCGCCCCACCCCCACCTTCGCCCTAAGCTTTGGCCCTTGGGCTCAAGGCGCAGGGCGCATGCACGCGGTGTGGAGCCTGTACCTGGCCTTTCGTTTGCCGCACGGGGGCGCCGCTCAGGGCGCGGGTATCCTCTCTAGCTCCACGGCGTCTCGTTGGCCGGCGTCTTCCTGGCGCTTGGAGCGGTGGGCGGGCCCTCTAGCCCCCACATCTCGATGGCCGGCGCTGACCCCGCCCGCCTGCTCGTTCCGGGGCTCCCGGAGGAAATGGCTGCGGGATCCTAGAGGCCTGGGAGCGGCAGTGAGTGGCGTTCGGGCAGCGGCGGAGGAGCTGGCCGCCGCGGGGCCATGCTCTGGGGAGGGCGGGAGGGCGGCGGCATTAGAGCCCGGCCCTCGCAGAGCTGCAGCGGTCGCGCCGGCCTGCTCCCGCCGGAGAGGGAAGATGGCGGCGGCGGGGGAGGGGCGGGGGCCTGGGGTGGCCCGCGAGCTGAGGGTGCCGGGTCCGGTCCTGGCAAGAGCGAACTGAAAGGGGAGAGCGCGGACGCTGCCCTGAGACCCAGCAAGTTCCCGGGGCGGTAAGCTGACAACGAGGACGCCTGTTTCCAGTGGTCCTGGAGCTGGTGGGGTTAAGTTGTTTGTGTTTAGACCAGACGGCTCGGGTGGCGAAGTTTCGCTCCAGAGCCTGTCCCGGGGTACGTTCTGTTGGCCTGTGTGTAACCGGCTGGTTTTGACGAGCACCGACTCCTGCGAGGGTGACGGCGCGGTGTGTGGTTCATAGGGACCAGTTCGCTTTCTCGGCGTCCGCGCCGGCCGCTTCCGGCCGCGTTCAGTGCCCCTTGTCAGCTGGGTCTGTGGCCACACTGGTGTCGCGGTGCACCGTCCGCACTTTCGCCTCTGGCGCTCAGATCCATTCGCTTTCTCCTTCCCCGCGCGCACTGCTCCCGGCAGGCCTAGAGACAGGAAGTCCATCAGCGCTTCTGCTTTGGATCTGGCACCTCGTATGGGAGCTTGGAAGGGCGGCTCTAGGTGACAGTAGCGCGACAAGCTGTGGCTGCTGAAGGAACTCTTCTTGCCTGCACCTTCGGTAACAAGGCCCTTGTCGTTTGCACGCTGATGGAATCAGATTTGAGCCTCGTGTGCTAAGGGGCATATATTGTAGGAGGAGAAAGGAGGCTTTAGGATCTTTTCAGAATTCACATAACTTGTATCTGTAGGTTGGAACCGGGGGAAGCTGAGTTTCGATTAGTAGTGATAATGTTGCTGTGTAGTTACTGTGCTTCAATAACGGCTAGCCGTGGGCACGAGTGCCAGCTTGTTTTGAGAAGGGTGCTTTTGTGCGTAGCCTGACCCCCAGGAAGCTGAAGTACAGGGAGGAGCTTGCCCAGGGTTGCACGGCTGGGCTCTGACAAATGTTGGTTCTATGGTTTCCTGGAGCCACTTAGGCCCTGACTGAAACATGCTTCCAAGAAAGGTGCTTTCAGCTGTGCGTTTTAAGGAACTAAGATCTTTGATCTTTGGAACGATTCCTTGATTTATTCAGGGACTGTTCATTGCATCCTGTGTGCCAGGCACCAGGACAGAAGCAGTGGCCAGAAAGTTGACCCTCCCAATCCTGTAGACAAGCCTAGTGGGGACATGCGAGGTCATCCCAGCTCCTTCATTGGGCTCTGTTGTCAACCCTACCCCCTGGAGCGTAGAGCCCCCTTGCTCTGTCTCTGTGACTGATACAGGGTATAGTCATCTCAAGACCCAGTCCTGGCCCCATTAAGAAACTTTTTGCCTAATGCATTTCCTCAGCATTGTTTTCTGCTTACCTGTGTTCACCATGACTTTAGGAATAACATATCTTGTTTACTTCCAATTTTCCAAGAGCCTTTCCTTATCTTACTATTGGATTAAATGTAACCTATTTCAAGCAAAGTGAGTTCTGTTCTCATAAGAAAAAAATGGCACAAATAAAAAGTTGTATAATTGGCCTCTCCTCTTTCTTCCTTACTATTTGCTAGTACCCATGGTTACCAATTTCTTTTCTGGCAAAGGGTGGCATTCATAGCTAGCATGTGTGCTGTGAGCATCACAATAGCTTGTTGCAGATGTGTCCCTGGGGCTTGGAGATGGGCGCACTTGATGCGCAGGTGGGCCTTGGCTCATGGGCTTGCCTGCACATGGAGAAAGGGCTTTGGAGTGGGCACTTTGGCTCCCAGTGGAGCTTGTGGGTCCTGCTTTTGATGCTGAAAGAACCAGGGGGTGCCTAATTTCCTAGGAGTCCATCCCTGTAGCCCAGGGACTGATTCTTTCTAATACATGCTGGCAAGATGTTCCAGGACTGATTTTTCTTCATATGTCTTACACTATCAGTGACGGCTACAGTGAGAGATTTCATTTGACTCTTATAGAGTAAAGGTTGTGTTCATAGGCCAGCTCTCAGATGTCCTTGGGTCCCTGAAGTGTGGCAGTGTCCCATAGAGGCCTGATTTCTCATACCCCTGGTAGCCTCAGCAAGTTCACTAAGAAAGCTTTTCCTTACAGTCTGGCTTTTGCATTTTTCTTACCTAAGTGGTGGAGTCATTTACAGTGTATGGAAATATAATATTCCCTTTTTATGGCCGGCATGAAGTGACCTTGCTAATTCAATCACAGGTCTGTGGTTGACAACTAATAGAAAGGCATCATCGGGAAGGAGGGGGCTATTTTGAGTTCACTTGGTCCAGTGCCCACCTGATTTGCAGAGCAGTGGCATAATATTTATGAGGCAGATATTTCTTTGGGCATCAAATTGTAGATGCTGTGATTTTGTTTTTCGTGTGCTGATACACTTAGGGGGTGCTTTAATAAACCTTTTTAAGACTGTAAACAGGGGCTTTTTCCCAATATAAAGATAGCTGTACGATGATTTGGGTTATAAAGATAAGTACACATGTAGAAAATTAAAGCAATATTAAAAAGTAAGAAGAAAGCAAAAACACCACTGAGCCATGCCAGTTGGGCCTGACATTGCTATTTTAATAGGTGACTTCCACCATTCGATGCTTGCTTGCTCACTGTGAGCCCTGGCTGGTTTTGGTGTGGTGGGATTTCAGGTAACCTTTTAGGAAACTGTAAGGCAGGAAAGCACAGCCCAGAGAGAGGTAACTTGCTGTTAGGTTTGCAGCTGGGGTTGAAGCCAGGGACATCCTGATGTAAAAGCCATTGAGCCCAGCCTCCAATCTGCTTATTGAGGACTTAGGGCACGTGTCAATGGAGGGGTGTCACGTTGAGGTCAGTAGGGGAGGGCACTGCTGGCTGCCTTTATCAGGACCAAGAATGCTGAGTGGTTCCCCTGAGGTGCCACCCTGCACCCCATAGAGACACAGGGCTAGGTAGACGCTGGCCTTGGAATCTTAGGGTTTATTGATTGTAATCTGAAGTTTTCCCCTTAGTTGTAAGGCAGCCCCCCTGGGCATGCCCCTCTATCGGTGAAGATTCAGCTCTGCGTGGGTCCATGAAAATTGACACAGAAAATCCTGTTACTTATTCTTTAACACTTTTATTTAAGCTTAGACCTTTCCCACTACCCCAAAACCAAAATCAGACACTGGCCTCTGCTACCCTTGGGGAAAGAAAGGAGGATTCCAGCTGAACACACAGTAATTCTTAACTTGTCTCCAAGGTCTCGAAGCATCATTTCTGCCCTAAGACCTGTAGGGGATGCAGCTCTGCTTAGGAGACACAGGCCTCAGGAGTGGCTTTTGTTGTCTCTCCAGCGCATTCTCTGAACTTTGGGGCAGTCTTCTAACCGGAATCTGCCCCTTCTCGGCAGTCAGGTGAGGCTGCTTTAGGAGAGTCGGGAGTATCCAGAAAAGTCCGCTGCTGAAGCAGTGCCGTCCAGCCTTGCAGTCTTCGGGGCTGGAAGGTCACTGTGGCCCAATAGGCAGCAGCCCTTAAGGTTCCCCCAGGAGTCAGGTCTGTGTTCTGTCAGCCATTCCCAGAGGGTTCCAAGTCAGGGCCTGACGCACCTAAAGTTCCTGGGACCCCAGAGAGCTTCTGTTTAAGTTGTGTTTGTTGATATTTACTATATTTGGCATTTACAATAGAGACACTGTAAAACAATAAACCCTTGTTTATTAACATGAATAACGTTTTATGGAGACTATTTTCCAACCAACTTAATGAGAAAGGGGACATTGTTTTAACTTTTTGCAAATCTCTTATGTGTGGCTTAACTGGCAGCAGTTGGACTTTTTTTTTTTTTTTTTAATATATTTTATTGATTTTGTGCAGAGAGGAAGGGAGAGAGATAGAGAGTTAGAAACATCGATGAGAGAGAGTCATCGATCAGTTGCCTCTTGCACACCCCCTACTGGGGATATGCCCGCAACCAAGGTACATGCCCTCGACCGGAATCGAACCTGGGTCCCTTCAGTCCCCAAGCCGACGCTCTATCCATTGAGCTAAACCGGTTTTGGCAGCAGTTTGACTTTCATGTTTGCTTCTAGAATACTCCTGAGGGAGTGACCCATGAAAACAGAAACAATGTCTTAGTTGTGTAAATAGTTTGACCTTGGAGACCTCCGAAGCCTAAGGGCCACACTGAGAGCCTTTGCTCTAGAGCAGTGTTTCCCAAAGTGTGGTACGCATACCCCTCCCCCCCCCCCCCCCCCCCGGGTACGGGAAGAGTTTGGTGGGGGTCTGCGTTGCACCGGAGTTTGTTGAGGATATGTACTGCACCTTGCTTAGCTGCGCCTAATTCTACGTTCTCATGAGTACGAGGGGTACTCAGTGTTACGAAAATTATAGAAGGGGTACACATATGTCAAAAGTTTGGGAAATACTGCTCTAGAGAATGGTTAGGAGTGCTTGCTTTTGAGAAGTGCAAGTTTTAAGAAACAGTAGACTTCGACTTTAACATGGGGAATGAGTTACTTTTAGGAAGACAGGCAATGCCTTTGCGTTTTTGAAATTGGCTCAACCACATTACTTGCTTTTGGGAAAAGGTGTGGTTTGTGGTCCCAGGTGAAAGTGTTTCGGGGCACACCTCACTCCGCCCCCCAGTGGGCTGCCTGAAGTGAGGCCAGCGTGTTGGAGGAAGACTGCTTTTAGCCGGACGGCACTCTGTCTTGTAGGTGAGATGCCTGAATGGGAGAGGCCTTCGGTATTTGTGGTAGGACATCCTTTAATTACAGCCTCAGTGACAACTTTCTGCAGTGAAAATGGGGTGAGCGCGGCCTGTATGGGGCGCTGTGGATGACCCCAGGAGATGCCCTGGGCACTGGGTTCTGGCAGCAGTGCTCCAAGAGGTGCCAGGAGGACATCCAGGTGTAACTGGGGCCCAGACAGACAGTGAGGATAGAAAAGCAGTAGGGTGGCCAATGGGGGGGAGGGTCGGAGGGTCCTGGATTCTGTGTGTTTGTGTGTTTATTTATATTTATTTTTAATTGATTTCAAAAGGGAGGGAGGCAGGGAGAGAGAGAATGAATTATTGATTGGCTGCTTCCTGCACACCCTACCCTGGGGATTGAGCCCACAACTCTGGGCACATGCCCTAACCAAGTATAAAACCATGACCTCCTGGTTCATAGGTCAATGCTCAGTCACTGAGCGATGCCAGCTGGGCAGGTCCTGTGTTCTTAATTAACAGCTACAGGACTTGGGATATTCAGGGGAAGGAGTTCTTAAAGTGCCCAGCAGGGATAACTGGCAATTGGTTGGTTGATTGATTGATTGTTAATCCTAACCCAAGGATATGTTTTTCCATTGCATTTCAGAGAGAGTGGGGGTGGGGGAGGGGACATCAATTTGAGAAAGACATATCCACTGATCATATGCTCATGTCTGTGGGTAAGCAGCGTTTGTGACTTCAGACCTATGGGGTAGATGAGGGCGGCACACACTCAGGACATCTGCGTGGTTGGAATTTCTGGGCGTATTCTCATTAGCGACTACCCCATTAATAGAAACTGAATTGTGAGACTCGGAATTAAAAAGTCTGAGTCACCAGAGTCCATAATGGCGAGGTTATCTGGAAGCTTTTGGATGTAATTTCTGACTGGCAGATCAGAACTGTTTTAAAATTTAAGTGGTTAGTTTTGAATGTTGTTTCTGGGGATTTGAGGTTTGGGCAAACATGGTTTGGCCACCAGAGGGACAGATCAGCACTGGGCGTTGTGCTGTGGTTGTGTGCTGTGAGAAGGATCCACATGGTGGTTGGGTAGCATATTGTAGACGTGAGCCTCACTGAGGAGCACTGCACCCTCCTCACAGGCCTCCAGCGTGCTGTGGCGTGGGTCCGCCTTCAGCCACCATGGTCACAGTCGCACTGACATCTGTAGTTGTGAGTAACGTATAACATTGAGAAAGGTGCTTATGCTTTTGTTTTTAAATTTGGGGGGGGGGGGTATTTTTTATTTCAGAGAGGGAGAGAGACAGGAACATCAATGATGAAAAGATAATCATTGATTGGCTGCCTCCTGCACGCCCTCACCAGCGGATTGCCTGTAACCTGGGCATTTCCTTCTGGTTCATAGGTGGACAGAGAGTCCCTGAGCCACGCCAGCCAGGCTTTGTGTTTTTGTTTTTAAGAAATTCACTTCTGACAGCCTGGCAGAGGTAGAGAATGGAGGGCAGAGTGAGGGTTGTTTTAGAATAGGTTTGGTGGGTCCCTTCTGATATGAAGCCATGTCTGATAGTGCTGTGCACGGCCCTGTGTTTTCTTACACTGGTAGAGACACCTTGTCACAGGAGTCTGCCCTCTGGGGCCCTGGCGCCCTGGATGTCTCCAAACCCTTCCAGGGGTTAAGAGGTAAAAACTCTCCACTGTGACAGTTGACTTTGTTTGCCTCCTATGCTGAGTTAACTGTTAGTGGTGCCGAAGCAAATTCGGTTGCTGACATCAAACCCTATAGTGTGCTCTCCACCTCTCCACCTCTGCACCAGTCACTTAAAATGTGCCAGCCTGCCCAGCCAGTGTGGTTTGGTGGTTGAGTGCTGACCAGGAGGTCATGATTCAGTTCCTGTTCGGTGCACATGCCCTGGTTTCTGGGTTTGTGGGAGACATCCGATCGATGATTCTCTTGATGTTTCTACCTCTCTGAAGTCAATTAAAAATATTTTTTTAATGTGCTAGTCTATCTTACTGTCTTTGGTGAAGCAGTCAAGACCTTTTTCATGAAATCTCAGCCGATAGTGTACATCTTCCTACCACTCCTTGTGATGAAGAGGTGAGGATGTGGTAGCACCTTTGCCCCACCCCAGATGGGAAGGGGGGCTGTCTCCAGGAGGAGCCCCTGGGGCTGTTGGGACCTGAGCCTTTGTACTTGAAAGGACTACTGACAGGCTGCGGTTTTCAGACTGGCCTTTGGCTGGCATTTTCTTGAAGATGAAGGATGTGAGTCTTAAGGAAAGAACTGACATATTTGTTCCTAACGATAAAATTCCAGGTTTCAAATGAGGTTAGAATCTTGGAAAGCTTCTATCTGCCATTGTGAGCTTGTTGGCTTCCCAGTGATTAAAGCCTTTTGAGGAGACAGGTGCCAGTATCATTAGCTCTCGTGTGTTCTCCGTGTCTTCTGATGGCCCTGCTGCCCTTGGACTTGTGTGAGTGGTTTCTGTTTCTGTGTTGCAACTAATGTTTATGACTCTACTAGTCAAGGCTTGGTGTGGGTTAGCAAAGAACATCCACAATTACCTGGAAAGCTTCCTGTTTTAATTTTGGAAATAACAATGTATTTCGCATAAACAAAAGCTCCAAGAGTGTGAAGAGGCCTTGGGACCAAAAAGTTGAGAGTTGCCTTCCAAGGACCTTGATAGCGGAGGATCTCGTTCCTGGATCCCGTTTAGCGTCGGGGTTGCCCTGTAGGTAGGTAGGTGCACAGGCTCCGTAGTTGAGAGCAGTTGAGGCTTATCTTTTAAATCGAAGGTTTCGAAGAGTTATTCCTACCTCAGCAGGGAAGGGAGCAGTCTTCAGCTGAGAAAAAAAATTGCACTTATGATGGTTCCTTTCCCCCTCCTCTCACTTTTTCAGGAATGCCCACAGTTTTTTTCCTTTGGGAAAGTTGTATTACTACAATGTGAATGAAAGTTTATGACTTGTTTATTCTCTTCGCGGTGTAAAGGGTTATACACTTAATTGTGTTAGGAACTTAGCACTTGACTATAGATGTAAATATAAAATATAAAAAAGTCCTCGCCAAAACCGGTTTGGCTCAGTGGATAGAGCGTCGGCCTGCGGACTGAAAGGTCCCAGGTTCGATTCCGGTCAAGGGCATGTACCTTGGTTGCAGGCACATCCCCGGTAGGGGGTGTGCAAGAGGCAGCTGGTCTATGTTTCTCTCTCATAGATGTTTCTAGCTCTCTGTCCCTTTCCCTTCCTCTCTATAAAAAAATCAATAAAATATTTTTTTAAAAAATATAAAAAAGTCCAGATAAGTGAACCAAATTGTCTAAAATGTGTGTTCTGAATATAGTTTATCTCATTCCATTCAATAGAAATAACTAGATTTCTTCTTTTCTGATGAATTTTTCAACACTTAAGTCAAATCCAGACATATATTGGTCTTTCAGAGTAACAAATTAAAATTTTTTTCATTCCTGAGAACATCTTAAATTTTGTTCTTGGGGTTTTGAAATATACATGTAAGGTTTATTTCCAGTTTCTTCTGAGAAGAGGAGCTTCTGAACCATTGTAGCCTCATTTGAGACCGGTTTACCCCACATTTAAGAGATTTGGTGGCTGTGGTGACATTTTTTACTAATGGAGTAAAATGGTCACTGTTGCTTTAAAAGGGGGGGCATCAGAATGTTTGTCTTTGTTCTGAGTCACCAAGGAGACCACAGTTACTGGAGGCAGTTGGAGTGAGGCTAGGAGGAAACGAGGTGAGGTGGGTCCCCTAGGTTGGGGTGAGACTGTGAAGTATGTCAAAAGTAGTACTTAGGGTCCCTCGGGGAACTGAGGCACGTTTAGTGAGGCTGTTTGTTCATTCGAAAGAGAGTGTAGGAAGAGAGATATTTTTAATATAATACATGACTTGTACCACTCTGATCCTTGATTATAAAGTCTTAAAATCTTTCTCAGTTCTTTTTTTAAACTAAAATGATGGTATAGATGTAGAATTAAGGATTTTAAAATAATTATTTTAATTTTATTGTTCAGCTTTTTCATATTTTGTTTCTCTGTTGAGTTTATTGAGAAATAGGACTGATTGGGTAATTACTGGTTGTGGACCTCTCCATCCCACCCCACCAGGGCCCACTTTCTCTTACAGGCAGCTCCACCCTGTCCTGGTCCCTGTGTGGTCACAGTGTTTTCTCTGGAAGTCCTTGAAGGAAGGGAACTGCGGTGGGGTTTTTTGGGGGGAGGGGAAGTGTTTGATTTTTTAAATTTTTTTAATGTAGTTTAGTTTATAGTTAAGACTTATAAACCATTTTCTTTCTTTTAGGAGTTCACTCGTGTGAATGGTCTCACGATAACCTGTGTAGTCGTCAGTGAGCAGTGGCTGGCGGCAGCAGTATTTGAGGCCTGGCTGTTTGCTTAGACCAAGTGCTTGCAACAGTCAGGCTGGGTTTTTTTGAATTCAGGACTCCTGGAGGTCTCCCAGCGTCCAGTGTCTGGTGGGTATCATCTTTAAAAGTTTGAAATTGTGTTTTCTACTTCTAAAGTGGCATCATATGTAAAGAAGCTGATACAATGTAGCATTCATATATGTTCGAAACATCCTAAACTTTAGCTGGAAAGTTTTTAGGTGAATATGGAATGATGTTTAGAATTGTTCATTTCATCTTTTCTAAACTTTTGTGTACATTCAACTGAAAAAGATAACTTACAGGTGTTTTGGTGCCCACATTCAGCTTATAAAAATGTAAAAGATGCCATAGAGAGTCGTCCTGTGGACTGAAGGGTCTCAGGTTCGATTCCGGTCAAGGGCCTGTACCTTGGTTGAGGTTACATCCCCAGTTAGGGGGTGTGCAAGAGGCAGCTGATGGATGTTTCTCTCTCATCAGCGTTTCTAACTCTCTATCCCTCTCCCTTACTTTCTGTAAAAAAATCAATAAAATATATATTCTTTAAAATGTAAAAGACTACTTACAAAAAATAACACACACATTAGCTCAACTGGAAAAAATAACAATTTTATTCAGAGCAATTATTTTCCTATTGATTGTTTTGTTAGTGCATAGAACCTGACATCATACGCTCGCTCTGTGGTGAAATGTACTTGCAGAGGAGAGTTCCTCCTGCAGGAAACACCTCCTGCAGGCAGGGATCCGGTCCCTTCCTGGCCCTGCGGGAGCTTTCCAGGCCCAGGCCCAGGCCCTCTGAAATGGAGGGGCTGGTGCTCCCTGAACTTCTCGTGGGCAAAGGCTGGTTCAGGCCCCTGGTGTTTTTGGTAAGATTTGAGAATGGTATATGAAATGAGGGCTTGATCCTCTTTTAAGGTGGCCTTCAGGTTTGCTACAAATAGATTTGCAAGAGTAGAACACTTATCCTAAGAGTCAGCTTTCTAGGCCAGATGGACAAACGGTTGTAACTAGTGTGGTTAGTAACGACAGCTCTAGCCCGGCTCAGGGAAGGAGCGCGACCTGTTCTCAGGAGTGTGCATGCTGTTTCTCCCATTGCCATGGGAGCTCGCCGCACTGTGAGGTCAGCATTGCCTCTTGGGTGCAGCCAGTTTCTGGGACTCGCTCCAGGTCACCAGCCAGAGCACTCTGTTGAAAGCTTCATAAGGACCCCAATTTAGTTCGGCTGTGACTACAGAAGTGATATGGTCCTTCAGGACACACATGCTAATGCACAGCCACTCCTGCCAGCTTCTGAGTGGTGGGACCATGACCAAGTTCTGGAGTGAAGGGTGTGTGGAGCTGGACAGGAAATGGGATGACAGCATTTAGCGGGAAGTAGAAAAGAGTCAAGTTGTGTATGGTTTTGAGTTTTCTTTGTTTTATGTTTTGAAGGTCTTCATTCTATACCAGTCTTTCCCCTAGGATGGAACATGGTATCAAGTCTGAGTCATCACTAGCACTTACATGTGATTGAAGCCTGGACAGTTCGGAATATAATTCTTAAGGTACATACTGTGTCCTTTGGGGTTTATTATTTTCAAATAGGAATAATGTTTTCATAAGCATGACCCTTCAGTAATTATATTAGAAAGGAAAAGGGAAAGGAAGACTAGGAAGAAGAAATACACACTCAAGGTAGCCAAGGTTCAGTATTTCCTAAGTGTCCCCGTCATCTGTTGCTGCATAAAAACTACCCTTAGAACTCGTCCTTTTTGTATCTACTGAGTCAGAGCTTAGCTGGGCTGTGGTGCAGGTCCAGCACACACCCTTTCCATGGGGTCTCTTCAGCCAGGTGGTCAGACTTATGTGACTGCTCAGGCTCCAGAGCCCAGGACAGGAGCAGCCAGTATTCTCACCTGCTGGGCCCAGGACTGGCACAGCGTCCCATCCACTGTGCTCTGCAGGCAGAGTCTGCCTGACTCGGAGGGAAATGGCATCCACCTCTCATCGCAGCAAACACTGTTCTGGTCATGTCCTTGCTGCCGGGACTGTGGTTCGTTTGATATTTCCCCATTACCTGTTTTACAAGACCATGTCCTCACCAGTTAAGCGGTGAAGTTACAGATTTGCTAGCTGTTTTTCCTTTGTGATATTAGACGTATAACCATTAGAATTTTCTTCAAAAATCGCCTCGAATTAGGTCATGTCTCACACTTCAGGAAGCATTGGTCAAAATGACTTTTTTTTTTTTACACTTAAATGTCCACCTTCACTGTCTGTGGGTGGGAAGTTGATCCTTTCCTGTGGTCACGTGGTATCTCCCTCCTGTGAGATGAAGGCCATGCTGCTCTATCTCACTGCTCCCTCGCCAAGGAACGTGGCCTCATTAACGCCGGTTGTGGTTTGGTTGCATTTCCCCATTAGGTATGGATGAGAAAGGTGACCCGAGCCATGAGGAAACCCCCAAGGTCATCAAACCCACCAGTAAAGAGTTTAGGAAAACGTGGGGGTTTCGAAGGACCACCATTGCTAAACGAGAGGGCGCTGGGGACCCGGAGTTAGACTCTGTGGAGCAGCAGCCCCAGCAGCAGCAGAGCCTTTCCTTGCGCCGCAGTGGGCGGCAGCCAAAGCGGACGGAGAGGGTGGAGGAGTTTCTCACAACAGTCCGGCGCAGAGGGAGGAAGACGGTGCCTATCTCCCCGGAGGACCCCAGTGAGCCGACCTCCTGCCCAGTCACAGATGTCGAAACCGCCTCTGAGGGGAGCGTTGAGAGCTGCTCTGACAGTAAAAGTGGGCCCAAGGTTGGCCCCAGGGGCAGTAAGGGACAACCAGCCTCATCTGCAAAGACCGAAGGAGATGATGGTGAGGACGACACCTCCGATAGTGATAGCGATGGGTTGACCTTGAAAGAACTTCAGAATCGCCTACGAAGAAAGCGTGAACAGGAGCCAGCTGATAGGACCTTGAGAGGAGTCCAGAGTCGCTTGAGAAAGAAGCGCCGGGAAGAGGGCCCAGCGGAAGCTGTGGACGTGGAGGTGGCCAATGTCATGGAGAGCTCCCCACCCGGCCAGCAAGAGCCTGCAGCTGAGCAGGCAGCTAGCAGTGACAGAGAGGGGAAGTCAGAAGGGCGGACGGCCTCGGGAGTCACAGAGGAGGACCCTGGAAGCTCAGTCAAGCACAAGCCCGAGTGTGAGGTGTATGACCCCAATGCTCTATATTGCATATGTCGTCAGCCTCACAACAACAGGTAGGCCATGGGCAAGGAGGGTGCTGGCTGCCGGGTTTCAGGGAGATCCATGTGAGAAAAGCGGCGGATTTAGGGTTATGGAGCTGGGCTGAATGAGCAACTTGTGTGTGGAAAAAGATGACCAAGTCGTTAAAAGGGACTCGGGAGCCATATATTGCACGCACTGTGGTCGCCGTAGGCCACTCGGGGCTCTTCACCGCCTTGGTCACAGTGGCCACGGGCCAGAGTGCAAGGCAGCAAAGACTAAACTACCTGCCGCTCGCTCACTGTCATCCCAGAGATGGCTCTCAGGTGGCACTGCCCTGGTGGTGGTAGGGGAGCTGTGGTCTGGTTGTTTGGGTGGGAGAAGTGGAGACAGTGCTGAGCTGAGGTGGGGGATACCAGGAACCCTCTAGTTAAGTTAAAATTCTCTACTCAAAACAAGATTGAGTGAACTTGCTTGAATGTTGGCCTCTTGATTCAAGAAGCACTGGTCTATGTACGTATTGTGTTTTTATCCTATCTACGTTTCTGTACGTTTGCATTTTTTTAACAATATTGAAACCAAATTGTCTAAAATTGAGTATGTATCTCTTTGTTTCCATTCCTGGTTATTTTTCAATTTCAGATTTATGATTTGCTGTGACCGATGTGAAGAATGGTTTCATGGCGATTGTGTGGGCATTTCTGAGGCTCGTGGTAGGCTCCTGGAAAGGAACGGGGAAGATTATATCTGCCCCAACTGCACCATTCTGCAGGTGCAGGACGAGCCTAACTCAGAAACCACCGACCAGCAGGAAGCAAGGCTGCAGCCTGCAGACACTGACAGCACTGACTGTACAAGTATCGGGACCATAGAGCAGAAATCCAGCGAAGACCAAGGAATAAAGGGGAGAATTGAGAAGGCTGCAAATCCAAGTGGCAAGAAAAAACTCAAGATATTCCAACCTGTAAGTATTGCCTCCTGGCTCAGTGATGATCTGACTTCTGCCGACAAACATCAAGAGGGAGGAGTTAGGTTCTTTTGGAATAATTTAGGCTTCCCCAGAAGCAGCACATGTCTGATCGGGGTGGGCTGGGAGGAAAGCATTTGTGATTTGTGAGTCTCCCCATCCCTGTCCAGCTCATATACTGTTACTGCTGACTCAACGTTTTCCTTAAGTGAACTGATGGACTGGCTTATTTAAAATGAGTCTTTCCCTAAGTGTTCTTCATGGAGTCTTATGTAACAAATTCACAGTCATCTTAGAGTTACTGAAGTGAGTGTGCCCTCATCTCAACTGGCACTGTCTTGATAGAACTTGGGGTCTTTCCCCCTCCCCCCCAAAAGCACTCGTGAGCATTTATCGAACTTCCTTCTGTGAGGCTTCCAGCTAGCAGGACAGCCTCTGCCAACACCTTAGTCTTCTCCTCCGCCTTTCTGAAGCACTTGGCCTCCTCCATGCCAGGCTGCTCTGGGAGCCTTCCCTTTCCCGGCTATAGTAGCCTGATGGCACCACGTCAGAATAGGAGCAGCTCCTGTCTTGTTTTTGGCAGCATTTTGTGTCTGCTCCCTGACCAAGGTGCACAGTTGACCAAGCTGACAGGCAGAAGCTTGGGTTCTCTTTAGGTGCTGATGCCTTGCACCTATTCGGTGATATTTGTCAGAGTTGATCCTGTGGTGACGCAAGCCACCTGCATCACTTCAGCCTCGCGGGTGCTTCCTGTGCTTGCCAATGTGGTGGTGGCCGTGGCACCATGGTCCCAGAGTTTTCAGGTCTTCCTCAGCCTGGATTACATGTTGGAGAACAAGAAATAGTGCTCTTAAAC